GGTCGCCCACGCGCAGCATGAAGCAGAGGCGGCTGTGGCGCAGGGCGATGACCGCATGCTTGCTGAAGATGAGGGTCTCAGCCCGCCGGTGGGCCTGGGCAGTCTTCATGAAGATGCAGCCCAGCATGATGGCATTGATCATGAGCCCCACGATGTTCTGCACAATGAGGATCAGGATGGCCAGAGGGCACTCCTCGGTCACCATGCGCCCGCCAAAACCGATGGTCACCTGTACCTCAATGGAGAAAAGGAAGGCAGATGAAAAGGAGTGGATGCTGGTGACGCAGGGCACAGCAGCACCCTCACCAGGGGCCAGGTCACCGTGGGCGAAGGCGATGAGCCACCAGACCATGGCAAAGAGCAGCCAGCTGCACAGGAAGGACATGGTGAAGATGAGCAGCGTGTATGGCCACTTGAGGTCCACCAGCGTGGTGAACACGTCCTGCAGGAAGCGACCTTGCTCCCGGATGTTCTTGTGGGCCACGTTGCAGTTGCCATTCTTGGACACGAAACGGGCTCTCCTCTCACGGGCACGGTACCGGGGCTCTGTCGGGTCCTCTGCTAGCCGCGTCAGCACATACTCCTCAGGGATGATGCCTTTGCGGGACAGCATGGCTCCAGCGACCACCAGGGAGAGGTCTCCCCCATGGGGGAGGAGCAACCACCTGACTGAGCCTTCAACCTACTTTGGGGTTTCTGCCCTGGGACCACCCTAAGTCTGCACCGGCCTCACTTCTGAGATGCCTCCCCAGCTAGGCTCACCCTCAGCTCCACCCGGCCCCTCCTTCACTTTATACCAGCCTCACACCTCAGCCCACCTGCCCACTGCCTACTGAACCCCCTACTCTGCCTGTTCCCCACCTGGCTCTGGATCCCAGCTCAGCTCTCCTCCACTCGCTGACCACCCCTGGGCGTCTCCCTAGGACCCTTCTCCCCACTCAGCCTTCTTTCTCAACCCACCTCTCCCACCTGGGAACGTCACACCTCCGGATCTTACCAACCGACCACATCCCACACAACCCGCACCGTGTTTCCCGCCGCACCCATTTCGGCCCCGGGCTCCCCTCCAAGCTCCAGTTTCATACCGTCTCACCTCCAGGTACCTCTTTCCTAACCCACCCTCCGTAGCGCTCTCGCCGCTCTCCGATCTCCCTCTAGCTCTCGTCCTCTCTGTCTCCTTGGGATCCTCCGCCCTCCAGAGTCACCACTCCACCCAGCTCCACTCCTGATCCCCTCGCCCCCAGCGCGACCTGGCTGGCGGGGCCCACTCTAAGCCGCGGCCTCCCGGCTCCGCGCCGGCAGCACGCACGCCGGCGCCGCGACCCCGCCCGCCGCTCCGTCCCTGCCCCCCCCCCGCGCTCCTCGCCGCGGCACCTGCTCCTGCTCATCAAGCCGCAGTCCTCGCCTCCCCGCCCCCTCCCGCTGCCCGGGCGCTCGCGAAGGGCCGTCCTCCGGCCCTTCTGTGTGTCAATCGGCCCGCGGAGGCCGACCTGTGCTAGGTGGGGTGGAGAATTGAGGACACCGAACGCCGGAGGCGTGGAGTGGGGGCCGGGGGCCGCCAGGGGGAGCCCGACCTATTCCTGGGCTGGAGGGCTGGCGGGCACAAGCTCAAGCCCCGCCCCTCGCCATTCACCTCCCACCGTCTTCCTTCTCCCGGCTCGCTTCGTCTGGCCTTGGGAGTTTGCCCAATTGGACTAAAGAGGTTCCTCCCAGCCCACACGCTACGAAATCAGGGCGGGGCGGGGCAGGGCGGGACGGGGGCGGGGTGAAGGGAGTCGTGACCCGCCCTCCCATTCTGGGGACAGATGCCCTGTCGCCCTGGTCCCACCGCAATTTTCCCATCCTGGGTTGGGTCAGTATCCGCCTGGGCTTTGTGGGTTCCCAGCAAAAGGAGGTACCGAGGAGCTGTGTCACCAACCTGGTGACTGGGGTTGGGGCGGGGAGATTAGGTGGCCCGAGGACTCCTAACTGACCGCTTCTTTTCTATGGCGATGATTTTAGTATTTTCAGAGTCACGAATCCTTTGAGGGTCTGATGAAAGCCACGGACTTCCTGGGGGTGGGGGATGGAGATCTACCTTAGTAGGTGTAGAAACATAGTTTAACACCCACTACAGGGGATGCTGGATGCTGCATCCCAGAAGCCTGGGTGGTTGCATCTTCTCAATCATGACCCACACTTTCAATCCCACCCCTGCATTTTATTATATCTTATTTTATTATTTATTTATTAAAATTTATTTGTTTATTTTTGGCTGTGTTGGGTCTCGTTGCTGTTCGTGGGCTTTCTCTAGTTGCAGTGAACGGGGGCTCCTCTTCGTTGAGATGCGCAGGCTTCTCATTGTGGTGGCCCGTGGAGCACGGGCTCTAGGCACTTGGGCTTCAGTAGTTGTGGCACACGGGTTCAGTAGTTGTGGCTCACAGGCTCTAGAGTGCAGGCTCAGTAGTTGTGGTGCACGGGCTTAGTTGCTCCGCGGCATGTGGGATCTTCCCAGACCGGGGCTCCAACCCGTGTCCCCTGCTTTGGCGGGCGGATTCTTAACCACTGCACCACCAGGGAAGCCCCCACCCCTGCATTTTAAAGGGGGTTTGAGCTACTGGCACTTGCTTTACACCTCCTTACACCTGCAGCCTGAGGAGCTGTGTCAGGGCTAGCTTGGGCACTGGGGGTCCTAAGCTCTTGGCCTGAAGAGGAGTGGTGTTTCTACTGCAGGCATCAACCTAGTATTGTCCTGTGGCTTGGGCCCCCTCTACTACTCATGGTAGATCTTGGGCTATACTGCCAGAGATGCAGTGCTTAGGGTGGGGAAAGGAAAATAGGGTGAGCAGAGAGGGCAGCTCAAGGAGACAGAGTTACACAGGAAAACTCTGGGGCAACTACGGGTGCTCAGCCATCAGAAAAGGAACCTTGGAGAGTCTTCCCAGGGAGTTCAGATACTATCACAGAAACCCCTGAGGTCCAAGGGGGATGGACTATTTTGTGTGGTCCAAAGTATAAACCAGTATAGACACTGAGTGGAACAGAGGCAGGCTTTGATTTCACGTATGGAAGAGTCATTTCTAATTACCAGAGATGACCCTCATCTATGGGGTATCCAAGTCGAGGCTGGCACACCATCAGGGGTGCTATAGAGGAATTTGGGCTAGAATGGCCTTAGGCATCTCTGCAAGACTTCACTGTGAGCTGTGACGTGCCCCTGTGCCCTTGCTACTTCCCTTTAATCCCTTGGCTGGTCGTAGGCATGGGGGGTGGGAATCCTCTTTTCCCTCCTTAGGCTCTGCTTCTGGGAGGCCCAACGGTGGAGGGAGTGCCGGGCCCCCAGAGGCATCTCAGAGCTGGAAAGGCTAGGACTTGCCTCACAGCGTGACCCTGAGGTCTCGCTTGCCAGGAAGGCGAGCCCCCCACCAAAAGGGCTCAGCCTCCTGCTCTGCTCCATCCTGCACCTCCTCATACTCATCTCCCCCAAACACTGCACTTGTCAGGTCCCTTTCACATTCAGAAACCTTCTCCACTTCCCTTTTGTGCATAGGCATGTCCCAGACTCCTTGTCCTGGCATTCAAGGCTCTCTGATCTTATTCCCCCTCCCCCACATGGGCCCTTTTCTCTAGCTCTCTGCTTATCTAATTCCCACCCTTCCCATGCCCAACTTAAATCCTGCCTCTCCCAGGAGCCTGCCAGGCCTCACAGAGCTCTCCTTTCCTGAGCTCCTCTGGCTCCTGGAACAGCCAGAAGGGTCTGTGCTGGACCCCTCTCCAATGACTGGTGGATTTTCTTTATGCCGTATGACTCTGACCCCCTTGCATACAACAAGGATGAAGGCCCAAGACTCCTGGGTCTGCACCCCAAGGGCCTGGTACAGCCAGTACTGAAGGCAACGTGTAAATGATAATAAAATGATACGCAAACAAGCACCTTCCTTTCTTGGTGGGACAGGTATACACTCGTGTCTCATGATGCACGTGGAGTCCAAGGACAGCTGATTTTTAGTCTCCCCAGCGTCTGGGCCCCAGTATGTCCCAGTCACTACCTGGACGACTTGTGGCATATGTACTGTGCTTTCTCTCTGAACGGCCGCCCTTCTCCCACTTCTGAATGTCCCTATGTGTGGGATGGAGATGGGGACATGTGATTCAGGCCCCTCTCTTTTTCAGAGGGGTAGGATGTAAGCTGGAGGTGCTAGTGGCCATCTGTCATGGGGGAGGGAGAGGAAGATGGAATTCATCACCCCTGATGTCAAACACCTGGATCTAGCCGTGCTTCAAGTAGTAACCTCCTGGTCTTCTCAATCACATAGGATAATAAATTCCACTGTTTAAGCCACTTTGAGTTGGGTTCCTGTCATTTGCAATGGAAATAATGCTAATCCGGGGTACCTGGGGACCCACAGTTTTAATCCAAGAATTAAACTGAGAAGGAAAAGGGACCAAGATATATGCAGATCTGCTACCTTATCTGATGAGATAATCACAAAAATACTATAACTCTGTTATGGACTGAATTGCATTCCCCCCCAAATTCATATATTGGAGCCCCTGCAATGTGATAGGGCCAGTGAAGAGGTAATTTAGTTTAAATGAGGTCATAGGAGTGCAACCTCATCCAATATGTCTAGTATCCTAATAAGGAGAGAGAGAGATAAAAGGGGTGTGCACACAGAGGAAAGGCTGCATGAGGACGCAGCTAGAAGGTGGCTGTCTGGAACCGAGGAGAGAGGCCTCAGGAGAAACCAAGCATGCGACACTTTGATCTTGGACTTCCAGCCTCCAGCACTGTCAGCAATAAATTTCTGCTGTTTAAGCCACCCAGGCTATGGTATTTTGTTGCAGCAGACGAATACAACCTAGCAGACTAAGACAGCCCTCATGTCACAGATGAGGAAACATGCTTTTGCCCACACTCACAGAGCTTCGTCAGGTCTGCCTGATGCTAAAGTCAGACTGCTTCCATGGGACCCATGGTCCACCCCAGTCCCTGCCCACCAGACCCACGGCCTCTGGTAGGAAATAACCAGTCTCTTTATTTACAAGTGATTTTACAGTTAGAGAACCCAGGCGGGAGGTGGGGGCAGGGTGGGGCATGGGATGGCACTTGGGCTCTGGTAGGTCACTTGTCTGCACGGACAAAAGAGGCGAAGACGCTGTCCTTCTGGCTGAGCAGCTTCTCTGGCTTGTCGAACTCAAGGATGGCGCCGCGCTTCAGGACGATCACCAGGTCTGCACTCAGGATGGTGTGCACGCGGTGCTGGGCGGGGCAGGAGGGGCTGTCAGGGTGTGTGTGTCGGGGGCCGGGCTGGGGCAGCTGAGGCATCCCTCCTGCAGCTTGGAGGAGGAGGCTTGTGGCCAGAATGTCTTATCTCTGCGGTGACTGCCCTTTCCCGGGGTGGCTGTAACTCCAAACCCTCCATCTGCTAATGCCACCCTCTCCCTCACCAGGTCTCAGCTCTGCCCCACCTCCAGGCTTCAAGACTCAGAGATTCTCCCAACACCCCCATCTCCCATTTGCTTTGGAGAAGTAACCCTAGCCTAGCTCACAGGGCCTTGGGACAGGAGCGGACCTTGGAACCTGGAGAAAGAGGGGAGGTCTGAGGGAAGTGCAGGCACAAACCCTCCTACACCCCAAATCCTGCAATCCAGGCTTGCTGCAAGCCTGCCAGACTCCTTGCCCTGCACTGTCACAGGGTCCTCTCTTGATTACCAGGCGCAGGTGAGCCCAGAGGCTGCCCACTGATGACAGCCTCAGGAGGCCAGCTGTCTCTCTGGGTGTCCCCCCTGCACCCCATCATGGGCCCCTTACCGCTATGGTGACCACAGTGCGGTCTGCGAAGGCCGTCATCACCACCTTCTGGAGGATGTTTTCCTGCCAGGTCGGAGCAGCAACTGTTGGCTCACCTGCCCAGTGGGTGGGGTCTGGCCTGGCTTCTGGCCCAGCTCCCATCTGACCCCAACCCTAGCCCCACCCCCTCCCTCTGGCTCTAGTCCCCATAGGACCAACCAGGTTCCCAGTGTTCAGGGACTGGGTTCCGCCTGTTGGGAGCTCAGCTGCGTGCATGTGTGTGTGCTGTGAGTGTATCTGGGTGTGCTGGGTTGTGGGGATGGGTGTGAAATTTGTGGGTCCGTGTGCAGCTTGTGTGTATGTGTGTTATATTCCAGCCTTAAGACTAGCTGGAATCAGGGTCCCCCAGCCCGTCGCCTTTTCTGCTCCATATGACTCTTGATGTTAAAGGCAACTTGAGTTTCAGGACTATTTTGTGCAACCTTCTCCCTAACACCCCCAAAAACCCTCTCCAAGACCCCCATCCCATGGGTGTGCCCAGCACCGACCGTGGCCATGTCGATGGAAGCCGTGGCTTCATCCATGATGAAGATGCTGGTCTTCCTCACAAAGGCCCGGGCCAAGCAGAACAGCTGCCTCTGGCCCTGGCTGAAGTTTTCCCCGCCTTCCGTGATGATGGCATCTGAAAACAGCCCCAGGAAGGGGGCGCAGGGCTGAGTTAATTCTGCGTTGTGAGTTTAGTGGATGGAGTGGCTTGGGGTTTCAGGAAATGTGTGTACAGGGGTAAATATGTAGGTGTGTGTCATGAGTACAGGTGTGCACAGCGTGGCTGCACCTTACACAACACGGATGCCATCTGCTAGAGCTACAAAGAGAAGAGCGCTGCCTGGAGTTATGCACGGCTGTGGCCCTGGGCAGTTCTGGGAGGCGCATCAGCACAGAGTGTGTCCGTCCTGCACGTGTATAGGCCTTGGTGGGTGATTTTCTGAAGCCAAGGCTTGGCCGGCCCCCAGTCCCAGGGGTTTCAACAGATACACCAAGGTTCTGCTGACCCCCGGGGTGGGGACACAGTCTTCCCAGTAGCCTTGATGAGTGACCTGTGCCTGTGATTTCCAGTCAGTCCTCTCCTCCCTCAGGGCAGAACTGGGCAGGCAGGTGGATGCGGAGGGCAGGGCCGAATGTACCATCATGGTATTGGGGACTTGCCAGTCCCTTACTGTACCGCTGTGCCCTGTAGGAGAGGCCAGGTCCGACTGACCAGTTGTGTGACCTGGGACAAATCACTTGACATCTCTGAGCTCCTATATAGTGAGAAGTAGAACTTAATGGTCTCTGGGATCCTGCCAGACCCCAGACTCTAAACTCTGAGCAAAGCTAAGACACGGTGTGAGTTGTCCCTTCCCAGCCCTTACAAGCGTCCTTTAGTACCCAGCCTGTGCTCAGCCAGGAGTAGTTACCGAGGCCTCCTGGCAGCGCCTTCACCACCAGCTTCAACTGGGCTATCTCCAGGGCCTCCCACAGTGTGCTGTCAGAGCACTTCTTCTCCGGGTCCAGGTTAAATCTGGAGGGCGACACACAAAGCCCTTAGAGAGGGGAGCAGGGTCCTGGCTCTATTCCCAGGGGACTCGCAGAGGGTGAGGCTGGTGAAGGGAGCAGTGAGTGGGAACTGATTGACTTGGGGGCCTGGCTGGGAGGGGGCAGCAAGGTGCTGGCAGTGGGTGGAGGAAAGCATCCCAGGCTTGAGGGTTGGGGGACCCCTACCAGTGCCTAGGCCTAACGGAAAAGAGAAAGGCATGAGGGTGCAGCTTTAAAGAACCCGCGCCAGCCCTTCATCAGAGCTAGAGCAGGGCTGCTTGCCCAGGGAGGCTCGTCCACCCCTTCCTCGCTATGCCCCAGATCTGGAGGAGAGGAGCCGGGCCTGGGGCTCGGGTGGGCCTGGTGGCGGGGGTCAGGGGGCTCACCGGATGGTGCCGCTGAAGAGGACGGGGTCCTGCAGGATGATGGAGAGGCGTGAGCGCAGGGTGTGCAGCGGCAGTTTGGCGATGTCGATGCCATCGATGATGATACGCCCTGCATGCAAACAGTGTCACAGGTGGGGCACCAAGGAGCGGGGAGACGGTGGCACTGGGGACAGGGTCTGCCTGCAACATGGGTCCCAACGAGGATGCGGGGGAAGGCAGTGATGGCTGGGCCTCCTGTGATGTCTGACCATACCCAGGACTGAGGTACCATCTGGTGGCTGTGGGTACATGAGGGGTTACCGTCGTACAGCTCACCTTCGAACATGTCCACCATGCGGAAGAAGGCTAGAGAGAAGGAGGACTTCCCACTGCCTGTGCGGCCGCAGATCCCAATCTGGAAAGAGAGGAGCAGGTACGCGGTGGGCACCTGGGGTGTCTGGGAGCCTCTAGTGCTGGGCTGTGCAGGTGTGGGAAGCCCCAGCATCTCTTCTCGTCCTGGTGTTCTGACCAGCATCTCTTTAGCTAGGGCTGGGCCCGGGTTTGGGCTTGTTTCCTGCAGTGGATCCAGAGGAGGCTCCTACTTGTCTGGCTGGGTGTGGTACATGACTGCAGGGGAGCTGGGGACACGGGTGTCTCTCTATGTGCCTGGGTGTGGCGGGAGGGCACAGGGGTGGCTGAAAGTTGTGTGCAGGATGTACCCCACCTTAAACTGGAGTCGTCTCTCACCCCATCGCATCCGATACGGAGACAGAGGTGGTGATATAGAAGGATAAGAGAGGCAGGGACAGAGGTACATCTAAAGGTCAGAGACAGTGAGACAGACAGCCACAGACAATGACAGAGTGAGAGAGACAGAGACAAAGAGACAGGAGGAGAGGGGCAGCGTCGGAGCAGAGGGGGAGAGAGGGGGGAGTCAGTCAGAGTCGGATCGGAGTGCCAGACAGGAGCTCCCTCCCCAGGCCAGGGCTTCACTCTCTGCCCCAGGGCCCTGCTCTGAAGTTCAGGGTACAGTGTCCTGGGAGAGCCCCTAACCATTTGTGGGGGGCCCTGACAAAACCCCTCTGAGTCAGGGGAGTCTGGGGTGTCCTGTCCATCTCCTTGGTGGGTGAGTGAGGGCAGCAGGAGGAGAAGGCGAGAGGCCCGGGCCTGGGAGACTGGGGGTCTGAATGGGTGTGAGGCCTGGCGGGCCCTGAGGGCCAGGAGGTGACTCTGTGAGGCGGTCCAGCCCTCTGCCCTCCCCGCTCCCCTGACCTTCTGTCCTGGGGAGATGAGGGCGTTGACGTGCTTCAGCACTGGCTTCAGGGAGCTGTCGTAGCGCACACTCAGGTTCTGGATCTGGATTTTCCCTTGGTCTGGCCAGTTCTTCGGGATCAGCGATGGTGCTGGGGGCCGGGCTGGGGGTCAGCTGCCAGGTGTGGGCCACAGCTGGTATCCAGGTATGCCCTCCTGACCCCAGGCTCCTCGTGTCCCCCTCAACCCAAACACACATCCACGTTGGGCCCTTTCCCCAGAAGTCCTCCCGCGCCCCTCACCCAGCAGCCCCTCGTAGCGCTCTGCTTCAGTTTTCAGGAGCCCATGGATGCGTTTCACGGCCCCCAGCTGGAGCTCCATGTCCGCCAGGTTCCTCACCATCCAATTGAGGTAGTTGGACACCTGTGGGAAGCAAGCCGTTCACAGTTAGTGATCACTTGGTCCTGTCCCTGGCCACCAGGATGGCTCTTCTTACAGTTGAGGATGCCTTTTGCTGCCCACCGCTGACTGTCCAGGGGGCCCTCCATGGAGGTTACAGTGAGTGTGGATCCTCACCCACCCCCACCTGGGGCCCAGGCCTGGGTGAAGGGGCAGGGACCTGCAGTAAGCCCTCCTGCCCACATGGTCCCTCTGGCATCAGACTCGGTATAGCTTGGGGTAAGGCCTGGGAGCATCTCAGTCAGGGAAGGTGCCCTGGGCTTCCCCGGGGGCTGGTGTCTGACTCCTCCCCTGCCCCACCTGCTGCCACTCACCATTAAGGCGTAGGTAAGGCCCAGTCCCACCAGGCCGGCAGAGAGCTCCCTGTGCAGGGAGTTGGAGATGGAGGTCACGGCCGCGATGAGGACCACACATGCACCAATGTACTCCTGCAGAGGGAGTGGAGCTGGCCTGGACCCTCAGGGGTTGAAGGCACAGCACCCCTACCCCTCACTCCCTTCAGGGCACAGAGCAGCTCAGCCGAGACTCAACCCCAGCCCCGCAACATATCATCAGACACACAGGAGGCTGTGAAGGCTGGAGCCCCAGTAGACAACGTATGCACACAGCTCTGCTCCCCCCGCCCCCAAGGCCAGCACGCATGCCTCACCAGCTGGCCCACACCTGTCATATGACCCACTTCAGACACACCTGTCACAGCTAAACACACAACTGTTCTCGCTCTTGGCACACACCTCAGACACACAAGCGTCCAGGCAGTGATATAAGGAAGGGAGGGCTCAGGTCAGACACGGGGAGGACCAGCAGAGTTGGGAGAAGCAGGAGGGCTCGATGCCCACCCCGAGTGCACACCAGGCCGGTATCCGTCCTCTCTTCCCACCCTCTGGTCCCTGTTTGGCCCTTGCTCTGGCTGCACAGCCCTATGAGAACCCCCTGTCCCGGGGGTGCGGGGAGCTGGGGGCCACTTGCCATGCGAACTTCGAGCCACCTGTTGGCGGCCGTCAGGAAGAGGGAGGCGATGTTGTTGGAGTCCGTGTATTCAAGGAGCTTCTGCTGGAACCGGGCCTCGTACCTGGGGGGAGGATGGGGAGGGTGAGGGGGAATAATCTTGGTCCATGTAGCCCCTGGGACTTTCCTCACCTGCAGAGGGGGCTGCCCGGGCCTCAGCAGCCCCCAGACATGCCACCTCTGCCACCTTATGGATGCCACTCCTTCCTGGAACTCCTTCCCAGCTACCTCCTGCTTATTCAAACCTGTCAAAGGTGCCACCTCCTTCAAACGCTTGTTCTCACCCCAAGACCTGTTCTCCCCTGCAGGGCTTCCCTGTTACAATAAAGCGCACCTCCACCCGCCCAGGCGCTCAGGCTGGGAACCCAGGAGTCATCGGGATTCACATCCAATCCCTCAGTCCTCTTATTTCTTTCTCCAAAATAGCCCTGGCCTCTGCCTGCCTCTGGCCTGCTTCCTGCCCACTGCAAACTCACTTGGACTATTGTGTCAGCTTCCTGATAGGTTTACCTGCTATCTCCCTTCAGTCTACCCTCCACACAGCAGCCAGCATAATCTTTCTAAGTCATAAATTGCATCCTATCTCTTCCCTGCTAAGAATATGAATGACTTTTCGGATAAAGAACCACCTCCTTGCCAGAAGCCTGTGTGAGCCAGCTCCTGCCAACCTCACCCACCTCCTTCCATGCCACAAATTCCCTTGCTCACTGTGTTGCAGACACAGAAATTACAGTAAAGTAATTTATTACTTTACTTGCCTTTTTTCAGTTTTGTGACAATGCCAAGTTCTTCTCCACCCCAGGGCCTTTGAACATGCTGTTCCCTCTGCCTGGAAGGCTTTCTCCTCTGCTCTTCCCAAGGCTGACTCCTCTCCACTTTCAGGCTTTACCTTAAGTGGCACCTCCTCAGGGTGGCCTTTCCTGGCCTCTTTTTCTCCATCTCTGCAGCCTGTTTATTTCATAACCTCTGCTCATATGTTAATTTCTCTAGCTGTTTAGTGTCCATCTCCCTCACTAGACTGTAAGCTCCATGAGGATGGAGACCATGTTTGTTTTGGTCACTAATGTATCCCCAGCACCTGGCACTGTCAATAAGTATCTGTCAAACGAATGAACCTTCCCTGACCCTCTAAGATAGATGGGGCCTCCCTGTACAAGGAACTCTGGAGGCTTCTTTCCTGCCCTCGTGCCCTCATCACGTTCTCCCTTGTGTTACTTTGTAGGGATCTGCCTCTTCTCTCTGACAAGCCTGGGCTCCTGGTGTCGCTCTCCTTGGCCACCCCTTCAGACTTTGCGCCAGGCCTAGAGGAGGGGCCAGGTGTACTTGTTTGATGGTGAATGAAAGAACGAATGAAAGCTGTCTCAGCATATGCTCTCAGGGAAACAACTGAGGGGACTCAGAAGAACTCAAGATGGATCTCGTGGGCATTTGCTTTTCACTCCCAGAAGCTGTTTGTTCTGCTTCGATTTTTTCTGAGTGGAGGGCCTGTGTCTGAATCATGTGTCTGAGGAGAGCAAAGCAAGTCTCTGAGTTGTGAGAGGGTGTGATCGCCCAGCCACAGGGTCGATGTGTGTGTGTGGGTGATGTGTCTGAGGGGAGTGTGAAACCATCGGTCTGAGGGTCTGTGTGAGTAAGTGGGTGTTGTAGATGTGTATGCATGTGTGAGTGACTGGGGAGTCTGAGGGGTGTGTGACTGGCCTGAGGGGTGGGTGTGCATGAGAGTGTGCGTGAGATGGGAGCTTCTGTGGTAGGTGTATGACAGTATAAGGAATGTGGAAAGAGCCCCAGTTTTGGGGCCATATGGACCCCGGTTGGAGTCTGAGCATTATTACTTACAGGCTGTGCCTCAGGACCAAGTCTCAGTCTCCTCACCAGTAAAATGGGGATAGTAATAGTTCCTACATGGACTGAAACAACCATTCAGTGTTAGGCACCTTTGAAACTTTTCTTGGGAAAAAGTAGGGCCTCCAGAAAAACCCGGAAGGTCAGCCAGGCCTGGGTTCCAAGCCCAGCACCAGCTCTCACTGTCTGTGTGACCTTGGGCTGGATACTCAGCCTTAGCTGTACAGCGTGGCTTCTCCTACCTATGTCATGAGGCTCTTATGAGGATTAAATGTAATAACCCACACACATACCTGGCACGTGGGAAGTGTACAACCAATAAATGCTAGGTAGCTCTCAGCAGGACAGGCCTCTGGGCAAAAAGCCAATGAATTCAACGCATTCAGGGATGATGTAAAAAGTCCTTCACTCAAATTTAAGACTCATTGACCATGTCAGTGCAGGGTGTGGGAGGCCTCCCAAGCAGCAGTTTCTCTGGCTAACCGCTGGCTTGGTCTGAGGCTGGTTGCAGGATGTGGGCATACACTCAGATCCTACTGAAGGGTCTGGCCCACTCTAGGAAAGTCGCACTCTCTCTGCCCCAGGCCCTGCCCAAAGGCCTCCAGGATATCAATTCTAAGAGGAGCATCACCGAAGCTTAGAGTAGAGGTTGGCCCAGGAGTGTTGAGGGGTCTGGAAGGTGAAGGAACTGGGGAGTTCAGGCTTGAGAAGAGGAGGAGGCTGGAAGGAAACCCTGGAGTCATGCCAGGCTCCAGGGAGCTTCTGTGGGGAAGACAGCACAGGCTTGCACAGTGACAGGGGATGTCCAGGGAGCAGAGCCAAGGCCATGGCAGAACTCTGCTTTGCTTTGCTTTACTAGGACAAGACCCCAAAGAGGACCTCCCATCGGCCCCAGACGCCCCAGAGAGTGAACTGGGGCTGCGGTGCTGTGCCAGGAGCCTGGGCACCTCTCCCAGGGCAGCAGCTAGACTTTGGGGGTTGGAGGGAGGAGATGCAGGCAAGCCTCCTCAAACCCTGTCGGCTGGCCCTTGAGCCCTAGGGTTACTGGACACAAGGCTGGTGTCACATGGTTACTGTCATGCCCCGCACAGCTGTGCCATCCTAAAAATAACCTAGAATCATTCTCTGGGTGAGGCTTAGAGACCAGAGCCCCAGTATCTGGCTCAGGGGTCTCTGGCCTGTCTATCTGGAGGAGAGATGCCCTAATACTTCAGACAGAGACTGAGGTGGGGAGCAACAGCCCCCTCCACTCCCAAGGCAGCCTCAGATGCTTCTGTCAAGCCCAATATCACAACTCAGAGTGGCAAGAGGATGGTGGGAGTTTTGGAGGAACTGAAACTGAAGTTTTGGGAGAGTTCCTCCAGCCTGGTGAAGTCTTATCTCCTCTTTGAGTCCTAGCACTAATGACACCTCCTCAATGAAGCCTTCCATGACTGCCTCCCTTCTATGTTCCCAGAGCCTGTGTCCCCCTTTCTTTCAGAGTACTTGTCACGTGGGTTTGTCCTGGCCTGCTCAAAGCCTGGACTGTAAATGCTTCCAGGGCAGGGGCTCATCTGACTCATTTTTGTCTTTTTAGTGCCTGGTGTGGGGCTTGGTGAACACTCAGTAAATGTTTGTTGAATGAACAAGCAGGTTCAAATCTGTACTTTGTGGGACCTTACAGACGGCCTCAATTTCCTTATCTGAGAACTGGGAACAATCAAGCTTTCCGTTTCAGACTGCAGTGCAGAATGAATGAGACTGGCATGGAAAGTACTCAGCATAGTGTTTGGCTCACAGGAGAGTCTCAATGGAAGATGGCCTCAGGGCTGGCCCACACCATGTAAGGGCCTTTCCAGCACTGATTTGTGAGGAATTGTCCCGGCCTTTTCTCTTTTCATGTTTTGCCTTAGTTCACAGAGGCCATGGGCTTGGCTCTAGGCCTGAGATTCTCCTCTCTGGATCATGCTGCTAGAGCCCACTAGACCTGACACCTTGGGTGGACTGGCTTTGGGGACTGATGAGGGGTTGGGAGACATGTGTCCTGGGCTTTCCTAAGCAGAGCCCTGAGAATTGAATCTCATGACCTGTGACCCTGGCTCCATCCCCACCCCCCTACCCCCCCAGGGTGAATCTGGTACCTGAAGGCCCGGATGGTGGTGAGACCTTCCACGGTTTCGGCAAAGTGCGAGAGCAGCGGGAGCTGGGTGGTGTCGTCCAGCTGCTGCAGGTCCCTGTGCAGGGGAGCAGAGCCTAATGGTTAAGAGGGCAGCTCAGGGCTCAGCCTGGGTCTGAATCCTGGCTCCACTTCCTACTACAGTGCGGGCAAATAGCTTCACCTCTCTAGGCCTCAGTTTCTCGCCTGTAAAGAGGGGAGACAAGGGTACCACCCCATCAAGCAGTCGTGAGGACTGGATGAGCTCGTTTATGTAGATACTTAAGCAGAGCATGCTGGACGGTTACTGTTATCCTGGGCATCGTCCACCTCACGTCTGCATCTGTCTATTTGCTTTGCCGCACCGCCTCACTCTGCAGCAGTGTTAGTTCCCTTTCACAGGCGAACAACTTGAACAGCTAGTCAAAGGAACAGAAAGACCAAACTCCACGCTTTCAGTCCCCTCCCCGATAACCACCACAGGCTTTGGATTTAAAGAGCTCCTGGAGAGGGTAAGGCCAGTGGTTTCCATGGCAACAGAATTATTCCTGCTCCCCACAGCTGCACCTTGACAAGTGTATTAGTGCCAAGGGGGTCAGCTTGGGAATGCAGGAAGCAGCTTTCCTGGACAAACTGGTCCCCAGGGCCAGAGTGGGTGCCAGGGGAACAGGGTGGTTTCTCTGGCAGAAGAAATGAACCTTGTAGATCAGCTTGTACGGTGTTTAAAAAGCCACTGTGATTTTGTGAATATCAGTGCACTATGTTCCACGTGGGTACCAGGGGATTCTGGATCACCCAGGCAAAAAGCCGTTTATACAAATCATGATCCTTGTGGGCAAGGTAACTGTGGCCAAAATGTATCTAAATTTAATTATTGTTATCATAGCCAATCAGTATTTTGACTCATTTCTAACAAACTCTGTGTACTTGAGAGAGGTACTTAACCTTTCTGACCACAACTCCTAGTAAGAAACACATTTTGTATCACGAATCAGTACACACACACCACCATACATGACCAAAACAAAGGTTTCATCAAGCAAAGCTTACTGTTACTATGTGAATACAGTCTCATATTTTCTATTCTATTTCATTAAAAAAGTTACGGGTTGTGATCTATGATACTGATTTCATGACCCACTGATAGGTTGTGATTGGCAGTTTGAGACACACTGGCCTAAAGATTCTTAAAAATTGTCCCTACAAATCTTTGAATCTATGAGCTTAACAGAATCACTCCCAGAAAGAACTTCCAAGAGAACATTCTTAGAAAATTTTGAGTAGGAAAGAGTCATGCGTGGCTCCAAGGCTCACGAAGGCGAATGTGATCAATGCGAAAGGCCGTGAGAGGCTCCCTCGAGTCAAGGCTTCTAGCCACGCTCTGGATCCACGTGGGTTGGGAGGTCTGGTTGCCATAAGACCCCTCACATCAGGTGCCCTCTGATTTTATGCATCAACCATCAGCCTGGACACTGGAATCATACAATCCTCCCGGGAAGCGCTTTGGCAAAACGAATGAAGGGCATAATCACGTGCCTACACCCTGACCTAGCAATCCCAGTCCTGAGCATATCACCCAAGGAAACAGTTCAAAGAGTAACTGCAGTGTGTGCGTGCTGACAGATGGTTATATTAGGGTAGTGGAATATGAATACTTCAATTTTCCATTGTTTTGGGGGACACGACTCTACTGCTTCTACGATGATGATTCTAATAACAGTGCTGAAGTGCCTGTTGCAAAGAACTTCCCATCCCTCACCCCCTGGCAAGTGCTGCCATCACCTGGATGCCACCCGGAAGTACTTCTGGATGAAGTAGCACACGACAGCCAGGGGCAGGAGGGCCACGAGGAACACAGGTGTGACATAGGAGATGACGGCCAGAGCTGAGACACAGAGCAGGGTGGAGCGGCTCAGGCACTCCAGCGTGGACGGGATGTGCTGCAGGAGGGGAGGGTGAGAAAGGGAGGTGAGTTTTGGTATTTGATGGCCTTCAGTGTGTTACCTGGCACCATATTTTGCTCTCTTCCTTTATTACGGGTGCATGTCTTACCCCTGCAGCTACGCTGTAGGCTCCCTGAGAACAGGAATTAGAGCTTTGTTTTTCACCATCTAGTATGATGGCAAATAAAGAACACAGGCTAAATCAAAATGAATATTCTCCACAAAATCAGTCACCTTGGTTTAGAGTATGCTTGGAACCTTATTGTGAGCCAGAGTGGGCTTGGATGGAAGCCAAAGGGATGTGGTTTCCTTCAGCCTTATTATGAGGGTCTCCCAGGGGAGGCCCCAGGTCCTGAGGCAGCATTATAATCAGATGGGGGCCACTGGGTTCCTACCCCAAGGCTCTGATCTGGGGAAGCCAGTGCCAGACAGGAAAAGCTCCTGGGGGCCTGGCCTCTCTGAACTGCGGAAATGCGTCGCCGTCCTGTGTACCTGGTCGATGGTGTTACAATCGGATGAGAACCTGTTCAGGATGCTTCCAAGGGGTGTGGTCTCGAAAAACCTAAGAGGTAACCAGAGGAGCAGTTACTCATGTGTTTACTGATTTCCTTCCTGTTTACTGAAGGAGGACAGTTATTTCTTTCGTTTCAACGTCTATGGGGTCATCCCCAGGTCTGCTTTCCCAGGGGCATGCGCCTTTGCAGGTCTGTAGACATCTGGCCTGTGTCGCTGAGAATTCGGGTGGCCACCCAAAGGAGTGCCGGCCCCTCCCCAGCCTCTCTGACCCTACAGCCCACGTGTGACCTCTGCCACCGTTCTCAGCTTATCGCTCTGCCCGACACACTCAGGACTCCCTCTGTGTCCTCCTGGGGACATAGAGTTCTCTCCAGAGGGACAACTCTCCCAGGGTGGGGAGGGGCAGGGCCCCGGGGCAGCTTGTTGGCCGGCTGACCCTGCAAGGCCACTCCGGCTGTCAGCACTCCGGCTGTGACCCAGAACCGGCACAACCCCAACAAGAGGATTTCAGAACCACAGATCTGGACAAATAGAGGGTAAGTAAACCTGGAGGCCGTGTCTGTGGGCCACAGAGGGCTCACAAGTCTGAAAAGTGAAAAGTACAGATGGTGAGGTCTGGCACTGAGGAGGGGCCAGATAAGCTGTTTGCCTACTGTATTTGTAAACCGAGTTAGCCAGCCAATTGGGCTGCGACAGCTTTAAACCTCTTTCACGCCAGGCAGCCTTTGGGGGTTTTGTCCATCCCATTACGGGCGATGAGAACAGCTTCCCCGTGTGTCCCTGGGGTCAGAACCTGCAGAATGGCTGCGGGCGGAGGGAGAGGCAGGGGAGGTGAGAGCTGAACCGTGGGTGGTACCTGACTAGGGAGGGGAGACTAACATTTACGCAGAGCCTGCAGACACTCGCTGTGAAGGGCTGTGGTGACAATTAGATGAGCTAACCATGTAAGATTCCTAGCACCATGTCTGGCTGAGTACATGCCAGTTTCCCTCTGCTTTCTGCACCGAGGAGGGCACTTTTCTCACATCATCTCCTTGAGTCACCCCCAGAAGCCTGCGGCAGAGATCGTATATCCCCATTTTATTGATGGGAGACCTGAGGCCCAGAGAACAATGACTTGCCCATAGCCCAGCACAGCCAGGGGAGAGGCCTACCTCATGGGAGCCAGGATGATCTGGTTTAGCAGGCTGCAGTGCAACCTCTTGGCCACCTTCAGCCCTGTCCACTCCACTGTGATGGATGTGACAAGGCACAGCACGATGCCCAGGCTGCAGAGCACTGTGAACACCATGGCGTAGACGGTCTGGTCGAGGGAGCACTCCTGGGCCTGGCAGAGAATAAGGCAGGGTCCTGCGGGGGGGGGGGGGGGGGGGGCCGTGCTCAGCCCTCCCCCCACCCCTGCCCCGGCACTGGGGCTGCTGGCCACACCTGGCTGAGGGAGCAGTTCCTGGACATGGGGCTCAGGATCAGGGCGCTGTCAGTCCACTTGGCCAGCCAGTAGTCAATGGCCACCAAGACCATGTGCTTGAGCAGCTGGGAGAAGACGAGCAGTGAGAGAAGCAGCATGCCGGCCGAGGACAGGTACTTGGTGCAGGCCCGCCACGGGATCTTGGCGCGCTGGTGCAGCACCGACGACAAGTTGTCCTCCTCCCCACTCTCGGCCACCTCCTCTGCAGGCCGCAAGAACCCTCCCTGTGGCTTCACATTGCACACCCCTCTGAGGGGAACCAGGGGTGTGTGTCAGCCCCACTTACAGATGGAAAGACTGAGGCACACAGATGGGATGGGATTTCATCAGAGGCACACTATCTCCCCACTCCCAGAACCCCAAACCTTAGTCTCCTCATGGTTGATCAGACCTCAGGCCATGATTTCACTCCAGTCCCACTGTCTGTACCTTCCTCTTCTTCCTCATCCTGCAGGAGGCCATCTCTCGAGGACATGGCCCGGGGCAGGCCCTGGGGTGGCTCTGCGGCTTTTCGCTCCACAATGGTCTCCTAAAAGACAGATGGGTCTGGCCGATGTCCTTGGGGTGTGCAGAGGGGAAAAGGGAGGGTAGGGGGGCAACCACCCCCGGTGATGTCCAGTGTCAGTTTCTAGGTTGCCGCTGCCTGGGGGATGGTCCAGGTGGACACATGTTTGCCTGCCAGAATTTATTCCTTCCCCTTCATCAGCTACTAGCACCCCTATATCCCTGTGGGAGACCACCTCTCCCCTATTCTTAGTCTCTGTGATTCAGGGGGCTGATCATTCTCCCTTGCTCCTGGGGTGTGCACGTGACCCAGGACTGGTCCATCTTCACATTCCACATCCCTGACCACAGTGATTTGTTTGGGGTGGGCACATGACCAAATCGGACCAATAAGAGTCAGCCCTGGGACTTTTGCTAAACTATCATGAAAGAGGCACTTTCATTCTGGCAGAGTTGTTGACCTGGGAGAATGGAAACCTGAGATTGCCAATGGCCCTCATTGTTATATGAGAATGAAGCCAATGTGAGGTGAGTAGAGCCAAGGGATGGCGAGAAATAGATTCCTGATGATATTGCTTGACTACCTGGATCTAGCTCCACCTGAAGCTATGGCACTGACTTTCCAGTTTCTTGAGCCAATAAATCCTTAACTACCCACCCTTTTTGTCTTTGCTTAGCCAGTTTGCATTGGTTATCTGAAGCTTTGTAACTAAATGGTACCTGACTATCTCAGGATAAGCGGAAGTCATCCTCCCGACCCTGCCTTGGGTAGCTGGCACAGGTACTGGCTCTCTAGTGGGAGCAAGTTCATGCCCAGCTCCCACATCTGTCCTTTGTGTGTGGGGGGGGGACGGGGGCTTCCTGGGGCCAATGAGGGCAGGAAGACCTTTATGAGTTCAGGTTCTAGCAAAACCTTCCCCTCAGGGGGTGGCTGACTGACCCCCAAAATACACCCACCTTCTCCAGCTCTTGGTCCTGCCGGTTCATGAGGGTCTTCCAGTGCTCAAAGAGCTGGCACTCAGACCTCTGGAAGTCCTTGAGCGTGCCCTCTTTCTGGATGGTGCCATCCTTCATGGCGATGATCTGGAAAGACAGAAACAAACCTGGCGGGGGGCTGGCTGGGGAGGAAGAGAGGAGGTCACACCCCTGCCTGACCGAGAGGTCTAAGATGGATGTACACAGAGCACCTATCTCTTCCCCACCACAAACGGCCTCCAGCTTGCCCACTGCCCTCAGCAACACACTCCAGGATTTAGAGTCTGGTACCTCTGGAGGGGGGCGGGTATTCTCAATGGTTGCCCCGTGGTTGATAGGAGGGTTTGCAGAGCAAATTAGAGCATCCTGGTCAAGCTGTCTGGTTATCCCCAAGGATAGGAGAGCTGTTTCCATACACTGAAAGGGCTAATAGCACGTTACCCTTAGCGCCTCCTCATGGCAGGTCTGATATGTTCCACCCGTGTTTGGCAAAGCACCTGTTGGTCTAAGTGTATGTGGCCTCTTTGAAATCAATAAAACTTATTTTATTTGAAACATTCAATGTTTTATACCCATGTAGACCCATCAGTAATTCAGAAACCCATCCTGCTCCTCTCACCCCCACCCACCCCATGCTGGGGTTCAGGGACAGATGCCCAGGAGTCCTGTTCACTGACACCTTGAGGAACCAGGCACCTCCGTGTCTGCCTTCTTTGGACTGAAGATTGTCCTGAATTGTCTCACCAGAATCACCACAAAAACTCAGACACAAACCTGTACCTGCTTTAATAGCTTTTTAAAGAAATCTAATTTTTTTTCTTTTTTCTGCTTTAATATCTTTTTGTGAAAAATGTGGATCTTTTTTTTTTTTTTTTTCACAGTAGAGGGAAGATCTTACCACATGTAGAAGGAAGACTTATTTGGGGGGAATTAGCAGGGCCGATTAACACAGACCTGAAGCTTAGGAAGAACCTCAATTTCCCTGGACAAATTTATGCAGGATTCAGGCAAGACCCAGATTTCACAAGTCACATGATTTCCATCTTAAAAATTAAATGCGTTCCAGTTATTTGAAAAGTAACTATTGTCTTTATGTTGAGGAATATGGGAATTTAACTGATGTGGGATTTCACAAAATTGCGTTCTACTGGTAGTATTGAAGTTTCTATTACTACTGCTGTTGTTTGTTTCCATATTTTCCATTTGATCCTAACTTGAATCTGATGCACTAGTGGGCAGGAAGATGGCTCTCCCCTCCAAATGGGCACTCCCCAGGGCTAGGGGGGGTGAGTCATCAAACTGGGCAGGAAACAGAGGTAAGAACTGAGTGTCTGCTTCTTTTTGAGACTTCTTTGTGCCAGCCTTGTGTGTACCCACATGGGGCCCGTGTCAGGATATGGGTGTCTGCAGCTCTAGGTGATACCAAACCCTTGGGCTACGCAGGGTCTCCCTGATTGGCCCAGCCTGTGTGAAGCCATCCATTGCTGACCTCTTCTGCTTTGTGGCCCTCAGCATTTGCTACTGAGACATCTGATTGACTCCTTTGAAGATGTCCGACTGCCTCTCCCAGCTCAGCCCTCCACAGCTTGACCCCTTGTGGCCCCTCACCCAGTCTGCATGCGGCAGGTACTGTAGCTTGTGCGTCACTAGGACCACTGTCCGCTTATCATCTCGCAGCAGCTCAAGGATCCCAGCCTGCATCAGGTGGTCACTCAGATGGACATCCAGAGCTGAGAAGGGGTCATCCTAGGCAGAAGGGAGAAGGTAGGGACACACGTGGGAAGAGGGGATAACGGTGAGTGTAAAAACCACCAGAGTTACACCAGCTCTGTTTTAGGGACTGACACGAACCCAGCCCACTGCGTGGTCCTGGACAGTGCAACCAACCTTTCTGGGCCTCAGTTGCCTCGTCCTGAAATGGGGCTATCAGTTATGCCTCTCAAACAGATCTAATCACAAGCATTTCCTGACTCCTGAACCTCCACTGATTCCCTATAGTTTATTAAGTCTGAATTCCTTAGCACACTAATCCAGGCCCTTTATTTACCACCTGCTCAGTCTTCCTTTCCAGTCTCACTTCTCATCTGTCTTGTGCAAGCTCCCTACGCTCCAGGTTTCCAGGGAATTTGCCATTCCAGGCCTTTGCCCAAGCTGTTCCCTCTGCCTGGAGTGCTGATCTGCCTCTTGTCTGTCTGGTGAACTATTACTCATAGTAATAGTGGAGGGTGGAGAATAAAGCTGGGGTCAGAGACCTGAGGTTCCTTCTTCTAACCGTCTGTCCAAATGGGCTTCCTCTTTCCTTCTGTTTAACTGACTCACTCTTCAAGACCCTCCTCTAGGAAGCCCTCCCTGATTACTCTAGCCCTCACAGTTGTCTCCCTGGACATAGTCTGTGTCACACAGTTTGGCTTTTAAGTGGGCTGTGGCTCTTGAGTGTGGGTAAGCTCTGTCTCCCTAATCAGACTCTCAACCTTTGAGGCCAAGGGCTGGGTCTTAGAATTCTTCAGTATCAACTAAGGCACCTCACTCAGAACTTGGCATGAAGTAGGGCAGGTATAGATAAGTTTTATCTCATGTTTGATTACTAGTGGTTAACTGGAGTGCTGTGTTGAGAAGGATTCTGAGGCCAGGTTAAGTTTCCATGGGAAAGAAAGCTGTGATCAATTAGCAATGTCTGCTCTGGGCATGAGATGTGAAGTGGTAACTCACCTTCCATGTATTTGCCATTTTTATAGTCGGGCTAAATAAGTGTTAATAGGTTGGGGCTGTCCTACAGGGAGGAGGCCTATAATTACTACTCGCCTCCCCAGAGTCCAGTGTGAAATCCACATGGGTCAATTGGACTAACCTTGCCTCAGTTTCTCCATCAGTAAGATGGGTAGGTAATATCTCTGGCAGGAGAGGATTGCTCCTGGAGGGGGAGGTTGTTGCGTGATGGTGTGTGGGGGTCTGTCTATCTGTGTAGGCAATGAGCCAAGGTGGCAGCCAGACACGAGGGCCCCAGGGAGGTACCAGCTGGTGCACTCACCAAGAAGACGACATTAGTGTGCTGGTAGAGGGCTCGGGCCACGCTGATGCGCTGGCGCTGACCACCGGACAGGTTGATGCCCTGCCGCCAAAGGGGAGGAAAGGTCATGCCCTCACAGCCCTTCAGGAGAGACTGTCCTGGCCCCTACTTGTGAGCTCTTTGGGAGGGAGGCCTGGCTCTATGCACCTCTTTGCCCCATCCTCACCTGGCAGAGAAGGGGAACTTGTACATGTTTACTGAATTCATTCAGAAGTGGGGACAATGATTCCCAAGGTGCTAGGGACCATCTGACCCATGAAAACCAGGATGGAGGAAGGGCGGATTTAAATCACACATAAGGAGGACAGCCACAGAAGATTCCTATCTGTTTAAGCTTATGGAGGAGGGACCCCGCCCGGAGAGGGAACAGGAAGAACCACCCTGAGTCTAGCGCAGTGCTGTGCGGGCTCTCAGTACGTACTTGGGGCATGAATGGAGATGTCAAGTCATCTCCAGCCTGGGAAAGTGCTAAGCTGACTTCTGCACCAAGCAAGACCGAAAACTTTTCGAGGACAGCCACCAACCCAGGGCTCAAGGAGATCATTTTGATCCCACTGCAGGCAACTCTTCAGCCTTCCCCCTCTCTCATTTCTCATTACCTGTTCTCCCTGAGAAGGATGTCAGGGCATGGTGATGGTGATGGGTGGGGAGTAGGGGAGGCTGAGGGCCCCAACTTTGAGAACCACCCCCTGGAAGCTGCTACTAACCCGTTCCCCAATCTGGGTCTGGTCTCCATGGGGCAGGATGTCGATGTCTGGCTGCAGGGAGCAGGCTTCGATGACCATCTTGTACCTGCAGTGGGGTGGGCGGGGACACAGCTGATCAGCCTGGCCAGAGGCGGGCCTGGGCATTTGCAGAGGGTCATTACCTTCCAGGCAGAAGTGCCCAGGAGGAGCAATGGCTTTAATGGGCCTCCTGATGGGTGTAAGCAAACACCCCGTGAGCTTGAAAAGAGCTGAGGGCAGCACCTGACACCATCACGAAGAAAGTTAAATATTTGAAAGATGAAATTGAATGGGAGCAGATAGCCACATAAGTGACAAGAGAGGGCCTGGGGCCCCTGTGCAGTGGGAAAAGCTGTAGCCAGAGCCCATGCTTGGAGCACTGCCAGGGAAAAATCACTGCTGGTTTGCTTAGGCAGGTGCCAGCCAGAGTGCATGGAGGCATCACAGTGTCTTGGTGACATGTACTTGGGTGTCAGGAAGACTTGGATTTGAAACCCATTTCTGTCACTTACTGGCTGGTGGCCTTGGGAAAGTTACCTAACCTTCCTGAGTCTTGGTTTCCTCATCTATAAAATGGGGATAATAATAGTACCTGCCTACTGGGATTGATGTGAGCATTACAGCCAGTCATGCATAGCAAGAGCACCTGGAAAGAGCTCCATGGATGTTAGCAGTCATTAGCACTGGAGGGATTTGTGTACAAGCTGCGGAGCTGGGGGTAGGGAATCACGAGATGGAGACTCACGGAGGGCTGGGCGAGCCTTTTCACCAACCTCAAGAGAAGGCACCAGGGTTCCTGCACCTCCCTCCCCTTCTGCCTTCTCAACCATGGGAGCTGGACTGCCCTGATGCCCAGCACATCTGGATCATTTCCAGATGGACCATATGGAACAGGCTGGAATCCAGATAAGGGGGCTGGAGAGCAGGATGGCTGGGTGAGGAAGATCGATGGAGGAGCAGGCAGCCGGCCGGGCTTGGGGGCTGGGGCAGTGGCTAATGCATGACCAATTGCTCCCCCCCCCCCAGCTTGCCCCCCAACCCACCTCCTCGAGGCTTTTACCGTTGTTTGTTGAAGGGACTCTCAAAGGTGATGTTCTCCTCCACGGTGGCATTTAGCAGCCATGGTTTCTGAGAAGCATAGGCCACGGGGCCTCTCTTCCTGGAAAAAGAGGGGCAGGAGTAGGGAGGTATTCTCAGGGGGTCATTGTCAGAGGTGGTTGTCAAGCTGATGGCTTAAACTGGGGCAAGGGGGTGGGGGCAGCGATAAGATGAGGAGGTGCAGCTGGCAGAAATCTGCTTTGAGTGGCTCCTGGTGGCCTCTCGTTCCCCAAGGGCCCGAGGCAGGCTTGGGTGCTGGGTCTTAGCTGGCTGGGGGATAAGGGACCTCAACCCCTCCCTGCTCTCCACCCCTCCCTATCCCACCCCTTCAGTCTGTTGCCCTTCCTAAGTCTCTACCCAGAGCCTGGGAAGACCCCAAAGTGTGACCAAACTAAGTAAATACTTGAACCCTGATTTCCTCCTTCCTTGAGTAGCCCTCAAACCACTCGACTTTGATGTTAGCAGGTAACACTCCAAATGGAACTTTTTAAAAATGAAGAGTCAAGGAACCCACATTTAGTGTGATGTGGTTTCTGAAGACAAAAAAAAAAAAAAAGGAAAGAAGGAAAAGATGACCACCAGACAAAACTGATCTGGTGTGAAGGGAGCGGCTTGATGCACGGAAGCAGCGGTGGCCCCCGAACCACCGCATGAAGCACAGCACCCTCCCTGGCCTCCTCTGCAGCTGGGCTGGACCTGGGGGGCTGCCTTCCAGAGCTCTGTGGCTCCCTTGGCCTGAGACCCCCTCTGAGGAAGTCTGCCCTGGAGGGCGATGCTCTCGGGACACAGTACCTGATATCCGAGTCGGTTGCCGTCTCCCGCTCTGGGCTGCAGCAGGGGAGGAAAGACGTACCTTCAGGGTTCACCTGAGTAGACTGAGTTCTCCATAGACATTTTGAGCTCCCTCAAACCCAGCGTGAGTGCCTTTATAATCCCTGAGACCACAAGACTGCAGCCACAAAAGCCACACGCCACCCAGGGGAAGCCTCCACTGCCTGAATACACGCGGCGCGTGTGAGGAAGGCCTCAGGGGACCTGGTTAAGTTACGAGGGACAGTGGGGGGAAGGCACCACTGGTGTAGGCTCATGGGGGGCGGGTGGTGCTTCCCACGTCAGAGGAGCATGAGGCCCAACATGTGGCTTCTGCAGACCCAGCCTCTGCATTAGGGCGCGGATGCACTGGCCGAGGTCTCGGGCTGACATGGCTGCACAAATATCTGGGGCAGGAAGTGCGCTTTGACCGCAGCCAGGCGAGGCCGGGCAGGCCACCATGGGTGCCTGCAGTCTGGGGATGGCAACCTACAGCCGATGGAACTCAGTGTGGTACCTAGAGAGCTGAGAAGGGCTCCAGGTGTGATTTGCAGCCCCAGGTCCCTGTCAGAAGACAACCGTGGAGCCTGGGGGATCTGCCGAGAGGGACATGGTCAGCTGTGGTGCCCACGTAGCCTGAACAGACCCCAACTGCTCCAGTGTCAAATACTCCGTCCCGTTGTGCTCATCCATGCGTTCATACTTGTCACATACTATGAGGCCTGATTTTTGGCTCAAGAACTATGGCCACTATGGCTAGAGAGTCTGGGCTGTCATCATGCCCTGGCACTTGGCGACAAGGTGGGAGAAAGGGCAGAGAAAATATGGGGAAGTGAAACCTCTGTGGTGTTGGAGAGTGAAGGCCAGAAGCTTAAACAGATTTCCAAGGTCAAGTCAACCTCCCACTCCTGACTTCCCACCACCTCCAGTGTGTCTCGATTGTCTTGAAAGAGGTGTGGTTGGGCAGGGTTTTGAAGGTCTTAGAGCCACATCAATCTATTTCACTTGGATGTCTTAGACGACCAGAACATAAAGCACATTGAACATAAAGCAACACAACTGAATTTTCTGTCTGCCTAGGGGTACCCACCTCTGCTTTTTATAGCTTTGTTTCTCAACTTTTCTTTCTTTTTTAATTTATTTTTTATTTTTTTATCTTTGGCCGCTCTGTGCAGCACGCGGGATCTTAGTTCCCCGACCAGGGATCTAACCCATGACCCCTGCACTGGGAGCACGAAGTCCTAACTGCTCGACCGCCAGGGAATTCTCCAAGCCCCTTCCCTTTATTGGAACCCACTTCCAACCGAGCTCCAAGGCTGTACCTGGGGTCCTCTCCCGTCTCGCTGTCAGGAAGGCTGCTGGGGCACAAATGGGAAAAAACAATACCAGTTACTTCTCACTCCACTGCCTTCCTCTCCATCACACTGTGTCTTTGGGGAGAAGCAACCCCACAATCCCCACCCCTCTGACCCATCCCCAGTGCCCCCAAGTGGCTTCCATGGGGGCAGAAACTGTTCTTCTCAATCTCTGTCCCTCCCACAGCAACTGGATGGGCCCCCTCCAAACAGCAAGGGCTTCATTAGTACTCCTGACACAACTCCAAGCAGCAGTGAAGCTGGTTTGGCATCAAGACTGGCTTATAGTTGGGAAAACTAAAGCTCAGGGAGGGAAAATGACTTTCCCAAGGTCATAATCATTTCGTACAGCGTTTTCCAACTGTGGATTGGGACCCGAAAATTGCGTCTGAAACAAGTAAATTGCAACTGCACTTAAAAAGAAAAGAAAAGAAAAGAAAAGAAGAAAATACGAATATGCATTGCATGTGGTCAAGATGTGTACTTTTTGTGTGAATTTTTTTTTCTCTTACCTATCAATGCATAAATGTAGTGGACCGTGATGTAAAATCTGTTTCATACTGTGGATTACAGTAAAAATGTTTTTGAAAAACACTGAGTGAGGGGCTTCCCTGGTGGCACAGTGGTTGAGAGTCCGCCTGCCGATGCAGGGGACACGGGTTCATGCCCCGGTCCAGGAGGATCCCACATGCCGCGGAACGGCTGGGCCCGTGAGCCATGGCCGCTGAGCCTGCGCGTCCGGAGCCTGTGCTCCGCGACAGGAGAGGCCACAGCAGTGAGAAGACCGCGTACCGCAAAAAACAAAACAAAACAAACAAAACAAAAAACACTGAGTGAGGTGACCGGAATTTTGGTGCCAACTTTGTCAGTGCTCTTTCTCCTGCCCCAGGCCACCTTTCAACCTTCCAGAAGCAACCTTCTGCCAATGAAGTATGTACTTCTGACATGCACATTTGGGGAAAATCAATCTGTTCTGTCTTCATGCAGGTCTTACTTTAATAATAGTAAAACCAGCTAACATTTATTGAACTTTTATAAGCACTTGTGATAAGCACTGCAATAGTATTATCTATTTTAAAGCTCAAAAAAACCATATGAAGGAGGTCCGCACTTTATAGACAAGGAAAGTGAGACTTAGAGAGGCTAAGTAACTTGCCCAAAGTCACACAGCCAGCAAATAGCAAAGAAAATAGATTTGTCTAACTCCAAAGCTTCATGCTCTTAATGACTATGCTACATTGCTTCACTGTGATTACCCAGGCCATATCTCTGATAAATTTCTTGCCAGGAAAACAGGGTGGACAAAAACAGGGATGGAAAGAAGCCTGATGAAATTCTCTTTTGTCTTCTGCTGAGGAGCAGAACAGAATGGACCCTGATGGATATATAATCACCAGTTCCCTATGATCCTATTCGCCGATCTTTATGGTTTCATTTCACTCCCTCAACTCAACCTAACCTCATGTTCCCTAACCATCAGATTGCTGTAGTTTATGGACAAGCTGGTAATGTGGGACAGATTAAAAAACCCAAGCTTACAAATTCCAACTCTGCGGCCACAGCCCAGATAAGCTCATCGCTGCAGTCTTCTGCCTTGACTGCTTCCAGAGTTGCAAAGGCTGTTACTTTTCTGGAGGGAAGCACATCTGTGGCCTCCCTGAGGACCCCAGCACACACTGAACTCCCTCGGCTCTAACTCAGTTTGCAGCATTATCTGGGCTGTTCACTTAGCCCTTATAATGGACTACCTTCTTCTCTAATCAGCTCCTGTGTGAGTCTTTTATCCCCAGCGGGATTTTAAGGCAGGAAGAGCATCTTTTTCAGCTCCACAGTGCTTAGCACATGACAGGTCTGTAATAAATGGAGGTTGGTAACAGACATCTTTAATCGTTTGGGAGGAAGGAAGGGAGGGGGGCTAGCACTCAATGCGGGCCATCCTCATGCCAGGCACTGTGTGAAGTTGTTTGTATTCATCACTTCATCCTCACAACAACTCTATAAAAAGATGTTAGTATCCCCATCTTGCAAATGGGAACACTGAGGCTTAGAGTTTGCCTGATGTGCCCAATGGTACAGAGCTAGAAAGAGGGGAAGCTGGGATGTGAATCCAGGTTCATCTTCTCCTCTTTCCAGTGTAGTTCCAGCCTTCCTAGAATGAGCCTCCTCATTGTGTGTGTATGTCTTAATCTGAAAAGTAAAAAATGGTATATGTGGCACACACTTCCTCTCATTGATTGCTGGGCTCTTAAATGATTGTTCCTCTTCTGCCTGCACTTTTGGGACCAAGCAGTGAGCTAAGAAGATGATCTCTCCTTTTCTCTGACCCACCTCCTTCCCTGCAGCCAGCTGTGAGCTGGGTGCCTGTGTGCATGGCAACCCGAATCACTGCACAGAGCCTGCCCTCAAAGGGCTCACGGTCTGGCAGAGCGAATCAGACAGGTACAGATGTCAGAAAGTTATAAGGGCCAAAAGAAAAGTAGGAGCAAGAAAGTCCTATAGAAATTTGGGGGAAAAGTACACACAAACACATATGCAAATATGCAGAGAAAAGACTGGAAACTTCTGGGTGGCAGGATATTAGGTGGTTTTTAATCTTCTTTATACTTACGTATCTTTTCTCATTTAATGTACATTCTTTTAGAGTCAGAGAAAAATGTACTTTTTACAAGTAGTTTGGAGGAGGAAGAAATCTGAGAAAGTGAGGAAGGGCTCATAGAAGTTACAGGTGAACGGAACCTCGAAGCGGGAAGGATGGAGACAGCGGAGGTGGAGGGAGGGAATTCTAGGCTGGAGGAGGAGCCTGCATGAGTGCAGGCAGTGTGAGGAGTGGAAGGAACATGGGCTCTAAAGTTTGTATCCGATGGGCTTCTCTACTCACTGGTTGTGAAATCTTAGGCAAGTCCCTTTCCTTAGGGGAGCCTGTTTCCTTATCTATAAAATTGGGGTAATGGTAGGAACCTCACCATGACTCTGGGAGAATGTATTACCAACATAGCCCATAGCTGGCTGGAGGGAAGGACCTGGGTGGGGTTCGAGAACGAGGGATGGGGTGGGCGGGAGATCATCCTTTCAGCTCGGTGCTTGGTTTCAAAGGCACAGGCAGAGGAGGAGTCCAATGGCCCCAACATTCATTTAAGACCCCAACAATAAATAAAAAGGAGAGCGGTGGAAATTAAGGTTGGAAGGGGAAGTTAGGACTTATGGGTCTCCATGGTCCATTCATCCTGCCCCAGAGGGGCTTGTTGCTGCCCTGAAATGTTACCTTTCACACACAGTGCCCTTTCTGATTGATGTCGTTGGGTCCTAATACCAAATCTCTGAGGGAGGAAAGGGTTTTTCTTATTGTTCAGATGAGGAAACTAAGATGCAGAGAGGTGAAGTAACCTGCCCAAGGTCACACAGCTATCGAGTGGCAGAGTCAGGACCACAACCAGAGACTATCTAGTTCCCAAGTCGGGCTCATCATGTCCACATGGTGCCCCTGCTGTCTGCTCACCGTCTCACCACACCTGCCTCCTGCAGGAAACCTGGGGTGCCCTTGAGCCCCTGACCCAACTCCCCAAAGGCTCCAAGGAACTGTATGAACAGATGGGATCACAGAGTCGTCCTGAGACAAGCCTATTTTTCACCCTGGGGAATCGGGGGTCTCAGGAGGCAGCCTTCACACCAAAAGGCAACAATGTCCTGAGGCAGGCTCAGAACAAGTAGGGCCCGGGGCGCACACCTCCGTGGGTGGCAGGGGCAGCAGGGAGCTCCAGAGAGGCCAGTTTGCAGTTCCTCGTGGGGAGGTACCTCAACACTTTCCTCGGATCCCTGCTTCCTGCTGTCTCCCCAGGGCTGTTTAAAATCAATCTACTGTGGACATTATGGCCCTATTTTTTATTTCCAGGGAAAGAATTTCACTTGAATATATCTGCTAATTTTGAGTGTTTATCAGAATGTTTTCCTCTTAGAGATTAAGGAGAGAGTTTGCAAATTCCCAGGTTAACAGTGCATCGAAGCAGAGAGCCAGGCAGGCGCAGGTGACTATCAGTAAAGTGAATATTTGGGAGCCGCACGAGACCTGAGTTCTCCCAGAGACATGGAGCCGGGCAACAACCGATGTGCAGGACCCACTCAAGGCTGCCTCAGTAACTCTGCAGCCTAGAATGTAGGGCCTCACCCCTGAAGCCCCCATGCGCATCCCAGGCCTCTGTCCACCCAGGACTGGTGAGCCCCCTGAGGGCAGAGGCCAGGTCTTCTCCTTTGTAGCTTACACAGAGTGGTTCACAAAATACACATCCTGTGGGGGGGGGCACCTGGGGCATGGCATGGAGTAGCCCTCCAGTCCCATCTCCAAGGAGCTCAGTGTCATGGGGGAGACATGCCCCAGCATACGGTGTGAGGCATGCACGAATAGGATTTGCACATTCCAAATGCTGGTGGAGAAGTTGGGTGGTGGAGGTCTGGGTGAGGGAAACAGCTTGGGCAAACGCATGTGGAAAGGAGAGAGAGGTAAAGGCGCATTAACTGCAGTCTCCTAAAGGTCATAAGTTGTTCCTGGTTCATTCATTTAGCAAAGGCGCTGTGGATACAGAGAGACAAACAAGATATGATCTTTATCCCCAGGGAGCTCACTACAGTCTCTCCTGGAGACAGGCTGGAGTATAATTAAAGAGCAATAGGGGAATTTTGTTCCTGGAATAGAAGTACATCGTCAAAGAATAATATTTATAATAATATTTATAGGGCATTTGCTACATGCCCGGTTAAGCCTCACATTAACTCCACGGGTAATAAGGGAAAACTGGTACAGAAGGGTCACAGAATTTCCCAAAGCACAGAGTCCAGATTTGAACCCAGACAGCCTGCCTCCAGAACGTTTGCTCCTATCCGCTCAGCAATACTGCTCATTTTGTTCAAGGAAGGAATATATGAATGGTTGTACACACAAAGCAATCTCCCCAGAGCATTCTCTGCTGTGACCCTCCTAATCCCCCAAATCCCTGCCTTGTACCTCCTGGAACTCTTTCTGGCTGCCTGGTCACCAGGTCTTGGCCCTGGTATGGATGAAAAACACCGGAGCGGCTTGGCATCGCCCCTGCCTCTGGCTGCAGACAGGCAGGCCCGCGGGAGGGGCTGCTGGGTCAAATGCTATTTTGCTCTTGGCTCACTTGGCAAGCGCATCGTTGCCCTGCAGCCCTGCAGCCCAGGGTCTGAGGCATGGAGCTCCTGCAAGTAACGGAGGGGGGCCCTCAACACACAGTCCCCACACTTAACTCATTGCCCAGGGTAGGTGGGCCAGGCAGAGCTGTGTACGTGTCCAGGATTTTGAGAGACAAACAGCAGATGAAGCCAGCTGAGCCAGGTACCAGCCTCCTTCTCCCATCCGCTGTAATGAACTCCTGACTGATCTCCCTTCCTGCAATCTCTCTCTCCCCGATCCCTTATCCTGTATCACCAGCACGTTTCTCCTACAGCCTTCAGGCTAAATCTTGTCTCCCAGGCCAGGTATACAGGGTGTCTGACCTCAGCCCAGCCCACTTCTTTCTTTTCTTTTCTTTTTTTTTTTTTTGCAGTACGCGGGCCTCTCACTGTTGTGGCCTCCCCTACTGCGGAGCACAGGCTCCGGACGCGCAGGCCCAGCGGCCATGGCTCACGGGCCCAGCCGCACGGGCCCAGCCGCTCCGCGTGCGGGATCCTCCCAGACCGGGGCACGGACCCGTGTCCCCTGCATCGGCAGGCGGACTCTCAACCACTGCGCCACCAGGGAAGCCCCCAGCCCATTTCTTTAGTCCTGTCCTTCACCAGCGTCCCTAACACCCACTGCTCTGGCACCAGAACCACACCCTCTTACATGATCACACCTTTGCCCACGCTGATACCCTTGCCTGGAACACCTTCCTCTCCCACCCCGGCCTCTTCCATCTGATGAAACCACGCTCATCCTTCAAGGCTCAGATACCATGTCCACGTGAGCCTTCTTTCCTTGACCACAGAGTTCACTGTTCCTCTGTGCTCGATGATGGCACTGATCTCTGTTCTCCTCCCTTGGAAGCAGTGGCCACGTCTTCACCATCTTTGCATTCCTATTGCTGTGCTCGGGGTCTGGCACACCGCAGGTGCTCAGTAAATATGTGGTGAGCGAATACATCAATGTAGAGAAGCCAGAACATGAGTTGAGTCATGAACAAATTCTCACAACGTCCCGGGGTTGGCTGCAGGCTACCCTGATGCACTCGCTATGCTTGGGAGGGAAGCTGTGCTGTGGAGGAGGGCAAAGTGGATCCTGGAGCAAAAAGATCCTTTCACCATCACCCCTCACTGAGCCTGGAACAGAGCCAGGATGTGGGGCCCCACCTGCCGGTCGAGGAGGCTGAGTGTCAACGCAGACAGAGCTGTGAGCTGTGCTCCAATGGTTCTGCTGAGGTGGGGCGGCGGGGTATCACGGCCATTGAGGCTGCTGGCCTTCAGAGTGGTCAGGCTAGCTATTTCTTTGTGTTGCTCTCAAGCCCCTTCTCTCTCAGCACACAGTGGAAAGCCCATGCACTTGAGCACTTAAGGGCACATCCCACTTCTGCCATTTAAGGGCTGGGTGGCCTTGGGCAACTTGCTTCCCCTCAGTTTCCTCATCTGTTAAATGGGGATAAAGATAATGCCTACTTCACAGAGTTTGGTGAAGACTGACCGAGACAATGAAGTAAATAAAGTGCCTTACACAGTATCTGGCACACAAGAGGCGCTCCAGCACCCTGGAGAGGCCCCTGTACCCCCTGGGGCTGGGGCAGAGGTTTCCTAAGAAAGAAGAGGAAGCAGTCAGACCCTGAGGGTTGGCACACCTTGGAGAGGAGGTTGGGGCTGAGGCTGAGCTGCCTCTGTAGAGGCCAGAGAGGTGCTGACACTGGTGTGACGGCACCTGAGGTTGAAGGGGATGGGGAGGAGATGAAGGAAGTGGGGCAAAGGGAACACGCTCAGAGGGGGTCTGATTCTGGCTGAGTGGGACACAGACAGGGGAATCTAGGGGCAGCCCCAGTCTCTGGGCTCTGTAATCTCATCTAGGAAAGGCCTGCCCTGAGAGAGGGCCTGGATCCAGTTTGCCCTCCACATGGAATTTCGAGAATAATCCCTGGAACTAGGACCCAAGGGACCCCAGCCCAAGGCAGTGGCCAGGCTTGAGGGAAAGAGCCCAGGCTTGGGACCCTGGTCTGCATGCTGACCAGTAAGTCACCCAGCCTCTCTGTCCTCAGTTCTTACTTCTGTGAAATGGGGCGATAACACCCAGCGGGAAGCTTCAATGAGATCGTGCTTGCAGTGCACTTAGCAAAGGGCCTGCCCATAGCAGGTGCCCAGTAAATGATCAGTTGCTTTCTTCAGCTCACAGTTCACTGGGGGCTCCTGTCTTCCCATCACAGGCACACACAGGCAGTCAACGGACAAGGGCTCCTCCCTCCAAAGCCCTGAGGGGCAGTTGGTACAAGGGCCTGGCAACGCAATGCTTGGACCTTTCCTGTCAGGCTGTGTTGAGAGACACCCGAATAAGATAGGGAATGGATGCAGAGACCGTCTGTCCCAGGCATACCACATCCCCAGTGGAATCAAGGTTCCAGAGACTAAGGTCATGGGAAACCCAAGGGCCTTGTTTGCCAACCCACAGCCCCGTTGAGGAGGGAAACTTGCCAGATGTGTTGGGTGCACCATTCAGGGACATTTTGGAAAAACAGGAAATGCGGGTACATGCAGGTGTTCAGACACTGGTCCCAAGGTCTTTCTCTCTGCTCAGTCTGCACTCAAGCTTATGAAAAAAACCTGACATCTTGCCTCTGCTGAACTGGCTGTGACTTTCATTCCTGAAACCTCAGTCGGATCCCTCTTTCTCTTGGATTCTTGGATACTGGGGACGGGGAGGTGTTGGGGATGAGTGTCGGTAGGCTCCAAGCCACGTTGTGTGATGACTGCAGTAGCCATGTTCTGTCCAGGTTTCTGAACACCTTTTCCACCCTCTTCATTTCTTGGCTCTTCTTTTCTGGCTTTTAAAAAAGCCTTTATTTTATTTGTATCTTTAATCAACTAGTTTCAAGTGCTTTTTGGAAGTGGGTATAAATAATAGATTCATGATTGACTCAGTCTAGGGTTCTGGCTCTTTAATTAGGATAGTGATCTTTGCCCAGAAACCTACATTTGTCTGGTTTATCTCTGGCTCCTTGAAATACCCACTGAATGGTCTGTATCAACTTTGCTGATGACCAAGCCAGAAACCAATGTTTGTGTTACGGTCCCTCACACTGGGAGGCAGTGCGGCTGAGTGAACGCGGAATTTGGAGTCAAACAGAACTGCGTTCGAATTCCAGCTCTGCCACTTATTAGCTGGGTGAATGAGGGCAAAGAGTTTGGCCCTTCTCTACAACACGAGATCTGTTAACACTGCTTACCTTGCTGGTTTTCATAAGGATTAAATGACATAGTGTGTGCAGAGGACATAGCAAAGTACCTGGCACATAGTGAGGGCTTAAAAAATACTAATGATGGTAATGAGAATAAAAGTTCAGTGCTCTCACTGAGTACGCTCAGTAAATGCATGATGCATCCTCCACTGAGGACGGTTGAAAAAAGGGCTTCCACCTGCCCACTGTCTTTCCCCACTAACTGAGCCCGGAGGATGCATGTAGTACCTGTTCCAGAAGACGCCCCCCGAGACCTTCTGCATCTCCCCCAGGGTGGCTAGGAGGAGCGAGGACTTGCCGCAGCCCACCTGCCCCACGATCATGGTCAGCTGGCCTGCAGGGAGGGAGGGCGGCAGATGGGACTGGGGCCAGGAGGGAGTCTGAACAACCACCACCCGGAAAGACAGACAGACAGATATACCCAACCCTGGGGCCCCCATTTGCTTTCCTCCTACCTAGAATCCCCAGGGAGTCCTTTGAGCCTTTCCTTCTGGAAACCTACATCCTACCTCTGGCTCCCCAGGTCCTTCCTCCTTCCTACTGCTTATCCCCCCCGCCCCTTCCTAAGCACTTGCTTCTCCTTCCAGTGCTCTCAAGTGTGCCCAGCGCCTCCCAGTCCCAACAAAGGGCACCCTTTCCTTCCCACTTCCATGCTTTGCTCCTGCTGCCTCCCCTGCAGAATGTCCACGCTGCCTCATGGCTCGAGGCACCCTGCTCATTCTCAGAATCCCCGCCTCTTCCACTACGACTTCCCTGGCTACTGGGGATTGCTTTTCCTTTTGTGAAGCACCCATTCTGTCTGCAACAGATGGCTTGACATCAAGGTCCCGCTGTCTTGCCCTGTCTTTGCTGTTGCACTGCTGCCTAGCACATGGACTCCTCAGGGAAGTAGCCCACCCCCTCTCTAACCTTCATACCCTAGAGCACACACCAAGAGTGCACATAGAGCAGGTACTCAATCAATCCTGATTTTTCTTTTTCTCCCCATGTCACTCAGGGGAGTGTGGGAAGGGAGCACTTCAAACACGACTCCAAGGGGGACACCCCCAGACCATGATAGAGGGGTGAGCTGGGCCATACCTCGGGGGACGCAGATGGTGATGTTGGACAGTGTGGGGATTCCATCTGGGGTCCACGTGAAGAAGCCTCCAATGATCTTCGTTGGCAGTACCCCAGCCCCGGAAGAGAACAGAAAGGCAGCTGGGGTCTCAGTGTGAATAGTCCGTCGCCTCCCCTCCCCCATGAAAGCCAGAAAACACCGATTCCAGTCCCCAGATCACTTCCAAGGCAGGGGAGTGGGGGAATGGCCTTTTCGTGCAGACCTCTCTACCTGAGGCACCCTCCCCAGAGGACTGCTACAGGTCCCCCCACTTGGTGGAGATGGAAGCATTGTCCCTGGTCTCAGGACTCCTATGGACTCTACAGGCAGCCAGGGTGACCTCCAGGGCAGAGGGCTCAGCACACAGGTCTCTGGCACTTCAGATTTAGTATTTCCTCCTGGAGTTGGCGCTGGGTGGCGAGCGTCGGGGTGCGGGGTCTCAGACTCACCTGGACACAGCAGTTGTCAGCACCCCCATCTGCACTGGGGGTCAGGCTCTGCAGCGGGCCCATGATGCCCCGACAATCCTCCCAGGCTGGACGCTTGCGATTCACAACCTTGAGGGGCTGGGGATGGTTAGGAGGAGGTGAGGGCCCAGGGGCTGGGAGCTGTGCAGGGAAGGGAGCTCCCCCCCAGTGAGGAAAGGCTGAGGCAGGACCAGCAGGGAACGAGCTGCATGCATTAAAGAAAAACACTGTGTGTGTGGGGGGGAGGTATGGCAAGGGGACGCGGGACACTCACCACCGCCTGGTACTTGCTGGCCTGGCCCCGGGGCTCGGGCTCCCGGGGAGCACACTGCTCCTCGCGGATCTCTGCACTGGACAGGAACTCGCTCAGCTTCTGCACGCTGCAGAGGAAGTGCAGACACCCCTCACCCTGCCCAGGGCAGAGGGGAGGGGAGAGGGGGGAGGGTGAGGCCTGAGAGAGCAGCTCTGAGAAGATGCCAGGTTCTAGGTGTGGCCCTCAAAAAGCCCACACTGGAGGGGACAGACAGGGGGCATCCCATGGGGGGCGATAGGTGTTTCCAAGGTTGGTTAGGGTCTACTAGTCAGCCAGAGTAGGTTAGGGCGTGGATCAGGTGGGATTGGCTAGTTTTAGGGTTAGCGTTAAAGTTGATTAGTCTTGAGTTATTAGACTGAAGGATGTCGGGCTTTATCAGTTACTTTTAGGTTAGTCAGGATTAGGATTGGCTATCAACCACAACTGATATTTTTTGATCACGTATATACATGAAACACTGTTAAATACTTCATAAGCACATAATTTAATCCCCATAATATAATTTGATCTTGCTGGGGGAGGTGTGGAAGAGGTATTATTCCCAACTCATGGAGGAAAAGGCTATTCTCCACCCCTGGGATTTCCTTATGGACTCAGAGGAGGTCCCAAAAGCTTCACTCTTTTTTTTTTTTTTTTTCACTCTTTTTTTTTTAAAGAAGATGTTGGGGGTAGGAGTTTAGTAATTTATTTATTTATTTTTGCTGTGTTGGGTCTTCGTTTCTGTGCGAGGGCTTTCTCTAGTTGTGGCAAGTGGGGGCCACTCTTCATCGCAGTGCACGGGCCTCTCACTATCGCGACCTCTCTTGTTGCGGAGCACAGGCTCCAGACGTGCAGCCTCAGCGGCCATGGCTCACAGGCCTAGTTGCTCCGCGGCATGTGGGATCCTCCCAGACCAGGGCTCGAACCCATGTCCCCTGCATTAGCAGGCAGATTCTCAACCACTGCGCCACCAGGGAAGCCCAAAGCTTCACTCTTTTGATTCATTCTCTCTTATCCCTGGGGGTGGGCAAGATGTCTGGGGAATCTTGAGAATTGTTCGTGTACCCCTCTCCCACCTTTTGCTTAAATGTCCAACAACCTGGGGCCACCCCCACCCTTGTTTCTGTTCTGGGCATGACACCCCCTCCCCACAGCAGGAGCAGACAGCCAGCCTCGCCCGCTTCCCCCTCTGTCCTTGTTCCAACAGGACTTGGCAGGGGCTGTGGGGGAGGGGAGGAGCTGGCCTTGGGGTCAACCTTCAGGCTGTGTCCTGTTCCCACTTTCAGCCCAGAGTCTGGTCTCCCTCTTTAAAAAGGCCTTAGCGGGCTTCCCTTCTGAAATCTGAGGGGCTGTCACTTGGGGGAGGGATGGTGCTCATTCTGTGGTGCCCTGGAAGGCAGAACTAGGACCAATGGTTAGAACTGATGAGGTTATACCAAATTTGGTTCAGCGTTGAATTTTTCTTTTTATGGAGTTCTCTCAGAGGTGACACTCTCCTTGGAGGACATAAGCACGTTGGCTAGTCCTTCTCAGGGACTAGAGGGAGGGAAGTTACACATGGCCCATGGCCCTCTGACCAACCACAACCAGCTTCAGTGAAGCCCAGATCAACGGGCAGGCATGTTCTGGGACCAAACAGCTGTGGTTGTAGCAGTGACCAGAGTGAGCCCTGGGGCCGACAGGTGAGCGGCCTGACCACTGCCCTTGCTGGACCCTCCTCTCACCTGACCAGAGCTTTGACTGTGGACCGGACCACACTGGACAGCAGGAACAGTGGCGTCACCAGGATGTGGAAGAGGGAGAGGGAGGCAAAGGCTACCGAAGGGGAGAAGTCGGCCTCTTTGAAGAAGCTGACGTGGCCCACGAAGGTCTGCGGACAGAGGCACAGATGTGACAGAGCAGAGCGTGACTCAGAGTGTGGGCCCCTCCCGCACTGGCAGCCCTCAGCCCTGGGAAGGAAATGAGAAGCGGGAAGCAGGGGACCTAGGGGCCCTTTGGGTTGGAGACACCACCATCCTCACAGCCATCTCATGGAACCGTCCCTCCCTGCCCTGCCTCCTTCACCCCAGGAATGACCAGGGAGGAGCCCTCAGGGTAGATCAGCTCTGCCCCCTCTCAGACTGTAGTCCTCAGTCGGAAACGTAAACACGATCATCACAAAACCACCTCTTCGCCTGCCGCCTGCCCCCCAGCCTCCTGGTACTTGGCTCGGCTCCGTGGCCTCTGCTACCCAGAGTTCCCCAGGGAACCAGGCCAGGAACAATGTCAGTAAGTCACGTTGAAAGTGAATTCCCAAGTGTGACTGACAGGCTGTGAGCTCGCCACAGTTCAGGGACACCGGCCCTGGGGGAAAGTCACAGCAGCCAGGGATGGGAGCCCCGGGTGAGGGGCTGTGGGCGTGGGGCCTTTCTGAGGGGCGCACTGCCGGCCCCCACTGTTCAGCTCCTACTCAGCTTTGGTCAAAATTGCTTTAGAAAACCACCATTGTCATATTTAATGGCATGGAGAATTCTCGTGTCATATTCTTAAATTTTAAAAAGCATTTTACAAACCTGCATAGGAAGCATAATCCTAATTTTGTAAAAATGCCGTATTCTGTGAATCAAAAAAAGACTGGAGAAAAACACATTAACTTTGTTGCCAGTGGGATTATGGGTGATTTACGTTCTCTTTGCCCTTTCCCTTCTGTATTTCCCAAAATTTCTACAAAAACATTGTAGAAATTTTTACTTTTATAATGAAGAAGTTTCACTTTTATAATGAAGAGGTTTGATCGTTTTTTTTTTTTTTTTCTTTTAAAGAAAGTTTAATTGCTCTAGAGACTAAGCGTCAGGTCTTCCAGGCCAGGGGTTGGAGGTCCTGTCTGCCTGGAGTGGGGCAGTGGAGGAGGGAGCAGCTGCATATATAGACTCTCCATCCAGCGCCCTATTCTCAGTCCTGCTGCTGAGCCCATCTTCCGAAGCCCCTGTGCAGAAAGGCCAAACCCTCGGCACCTCTCACGCCAGACAGCCTTCCCCACCCCGCCCAACCAACTCTCACCGGGAGACGAAGAAAGGATCCACTTACGATGAGGACGGCTGCGATGGGGATGGCCGTGTTCATGAAAACTGCGGAGGAAGCACAGGGGGAGTTTAGTGGGAGGAAGGAGACGGCTGGAAGTGAAGCTACCCAGGTTGGTGTGAAGACAGGGCAGCCTCTGGGGTCCTTTCCCCAGCCTGCGGGGTGGAGCTGGGCAGAACTCTAGCTCTGTGGCACCTCCAGCTCCTAACGTGTGTCCCTCAGGACGCTTATCTCCATCTCTGAGACTTAAGCCTTTAAATAAAGGTTGAAATGCTCTTACTCTGCTCCATGTGGACAGTGTGAAGAAAGCCCTGTGAGAAAGTGGCAGGGGAAGGGATTGGAGAGCTGGCGGACTGTGGTCAACCATGAGGTCAGCAGCACGTGTTTCTGGGGGCACCAAGTTGCTACTCCTTCCTCTACGTCTGGTCCTTGAATCCCCGCAAGCCAGGCTCACTCTGAGGCTGAGAGGCTTCCCAGTCTCCCGTGGCTCTTAGGAAGGATTTCAAACTCATTCACACTGAGGTATTAGTGACTGAGGACAGCTGGAAGCAGGGTCTGCCTTAGCTCTAAGGCTGACAGCCCACGCCCAGGTGGGACAGTTGGTTTGCTGCAACAGAGGCCCTCTCCTTATTCTGTTTATGGTGTGGCCCTCAAGGCTCTTCATAGGGACCCCAAAGAGCAAAGAGATCTGGACTTAAAGTCAGAGAAGGGCGGACTCCCCATTATTTCTAAGCTGTGTAATCTTGGGCTGATCGTTCACCTTCTCTGAGCCTCGGTTTCTTCACCTGATTTTTGTAAACTTGTACTTACTTGTTCACATACTCTGGCTCTCTCCAAGGTGAGAGCAGGTAATGCAGGGAACAGGCCTCTGTGATGCCTCAGTGCTACCTATTATACCTCATGGGCTGCTAGCTTAGCCCTGCTCCCCTGGTCCAAGCTGTGAGATGCCTGAGAGTGCCCTGACCCCAGGCCAGAACTTCCAGAGAGAGTAGCCCTCCTGGAGTAAGAGATGCCCATTCTAGCTGCCACCTTCCCACCTCCTCCTCCTTCCTTCCAGGAGCCTCTTCCAGGCCAGCGCAGAAAGGAGTCTGGTTCTGACATTAGGTAATTAAAGGAGGAGCCAGGAGCCAGGAGCCAGAGGCCAAGGGCAGAGCCTGTGTACATGGCCCCTGTTTAATGAATGGCAAAGTGTCTGACGCTCTGAAGAATTCCAGACCGTCAACACCATTCCAAGAAGCTGATTGTCTACTTACTCCAAGAGTCCTGCATCACCTAGTACATACATGGAGATGTGGAACCCCAAGGGAGTGGAAGAACGTGGTCCCCGTTCTCAGGGGGCTCCCAGTCTGAGGAAGGAGACAGGAGGAACTATGCTCCCAGGAGACACCTTATAGGACGGGGAAAGAGGAAACATGCCCATACGGGGTTCCCAAGCAGATAGGAAAGATATTGTGCCCATCTTTGGGGAATCCCCAATCTATGCGCCCTGCCATTGGAGGGTTCCCTGTCTCATGGAGAAGATATGGCTGGAGCCCTTGGGGCACTGCCAATCTCTCCGACCACAAGGCTTTTTATCAACACTAATATCACACATGACGGTGATTTAATTGCCCTTCTTCTTTTTTTTTTTTTTTGCGGTACGCGGGCCTCTCACTGTTGTGGCCTCTCCCGCTGCGGAGCGCAGGCTCAGCGGCCATGGCTCACGGGCCCAGCCGCTCCGCGGCATGTGGGATCCTCCCGGACCGGAGCACAAACCCATGTCCCCTGCATCAGCAGGCGGACTCTCAACCACTGTGCCACCAGGGAAGCCCTTAATTGCCCTTCTTGTTGAAGGTTCCATGGTCTCCTGGTGCCCACCTCAATGCCACAGCCCTCCCTCACAGCCCTCTCGTACTGCAGGGGGCAGGATAAGCATTATTGGTTTCCCCACAGCATAAGGAACCCAGATCTGGGACATAGGACAGAGCATGGCCATCACTGGCTGGGGAGAGGGAGGGAGAGGAGGATGTCCATCAGGCCTGGGCCACTGACCATCACCAACGATGAAGCTGTAAAGACAGTTAGCCTCGTCCCTCCCCTCCAAGGCAGTTCCTCCAGGGAGCTCCCTCAGGCAGGGGCCACCTTCCGTTCCTCTCCTGCCCATCCTGTCAAAAGGTACCTGTGCACCCCACCTCGGCCCCTGCCCCAGGCCAAGACCCCTCCCCCACACACGGGGGCTCAACTCCCAGCTGAAGAATAGGCTTGGAAGTTAGATTATAAATTGGTACAACTTGCTCAGAAAGCAGTCTGGTGCTTTGTAGCTAGAGCTGCACAGGAGTTCAGACTTCTGATCCTACCATCCCTCTCCTGGAAATTTATCCTGAATAATCACTCAAGAGAAGCACAAAGCCCTCAGCAAGATGCTGTTAGCTGTAGCACTGCCTGTCACAGCAACACAAAAACCACAACCACAGCAACGAACCCCTGAAACCAAGTAAACTGGAAACATCCAACAGGAGCAGCTGTTTTAGTAAATGAGGGAAAAAAGCAACTCCGGGGAGCCTCCATTTTCCTGAACCACATAAGGGCCGATGGGACATTAAAGGCAGTGGAGGAGTGGGAAATATAACCAAGAATAGATTTCTCTCCAACTTTGGCATGGGGTGGGCTGACTCACTTAGATTTGATCTAGGAAACAATTAAAAAAAGGACATGACAGTGCTCAACTCTTGAATGTTACGGAGTAGGGAATACTGTTAAATAACACTAAGTGAAAGCAGATTATGAAATGATGTGCGAGTGTGATGCTGTTATGGAAAAGTTTAGTTGCATGTAGGCAGGTCAGAAAGGCCACCTTCAAGAGGGAAAGCCTTTTTGTAATGGAGTAGAGATAAGGGTACCTATTGTTTTAATACTGCCCCTCCATCCTTTAAGAAATATTCATTCAGAAATTCTTTTTTGAGGGTCTCCGCTGTTTCAGGCATTGTGTTGTGTTCTGGGGGTTCCGTAGTGAACAACTGTGTCAGCTTTTCATACCCCCCAAACAAAACAAAACAACAGATCAACTGAAAACAAAGCAGGGCTCAGATCAACTGCTCCCCCGCCCGCCGCCCGCCGGGCTTTGGCCAAGGAATGCTGTCTGGCCTTGTGGGTGGCAGTCCCCCCGCGCACTGCAATAGCAGGAGCTTTTCATTTGCAAAACATTGATAAATATTTCAGAAGCCATGCACGGGGAGGCACAGTGAGCCATTTGTGCCTCTGGTTAACTTCACCCCCTCCCCTACCCAGGGCCAGGGGAGGAGCTGCCAGCTCACAGTAACTGCAGGCTGCACCTGTAGGAGGGGAAAGGCATTTCGAAGTGAACAGAGCTATTCAGTCCGGTAGTCAGTCTGAAGTCAGCAGAGGGAAGGAAAGTAGGCAGTGGTGTGTGTCCGGCGCTGGAGGTGGTGGAAGCGAGGCTGGAGTTGGTGGAAGCGAGGCAGGAGGCTCACAGCCACACTGATTGCGGCTTCCAGCTCTCCCTCAGACACCCAAACCCCCCGCCAGGCTATGCACCAGCAACCCACTGTGGCTGTACCAGCTGGTGGAAGGAAGGGCAGACGCTGAAGTTCAGGGAAGCTGGAGAAGGAAGGGGGACCAGGTCTAGAGGTCTCCTTGTCCCCACACACTGGCTGTTCTGAGTCAGGGCCTCCGCCGAGGAGGAGACACTCGCCAAGAATAGCCAGGGCCTGGGTTGCGGGGAGGGCAGGTGCTGGGTGCCCTGTGAATGGGGTTCACAGGCACCATCCTGCCCACTCCACACCTCCATCCGAGCTTGGGGGCTTGTTTTTTGCTTTTCAAAACATAGCATGAGGCCAGTCACATTCATTTGATGTGAACCACCTGACTGTGGTTCAGACCCAGGTGGGAAGAGGGAAGACCCCTGACCACAGAGCACTGGAAGAGATGGCAGACCCACCTTTCCTTTAAAATCCTTCAATGCCTCTCCTGCCTCAGGAGAAAACCCAGCACACAAGGTCCTGCATGATCTGGTCTTGTTACCCTCTCCTCACCGTGATATACTCGAGTCTTGAACACACCCGTCATCCTTTTCACCTTTAGGCCTTTGTGCCTGGAACATTCTTCCCTCACTTGGCTGACATGGGATCCTATGGGCATCGGCAATGGGTTTCACCGAGCACAAGGCTTCCTTGACACCCACCACTCCTAAGATGAGGTTGGGTGCCGCTCTGATGGATTCCACTTTCTGTTCCTGTCACTCACGACACAGCTGCCCGTCTGGCTTCCCTATTAGACTGTGAACAGCCTGCCGCATCCCCCAGGCCTGGCATAGGGCTTGACACATAGTGGGTGCTCAGTAAATATTTATTAGATAAGGGAACGAAAGAAATAAAGGAGGCCAGGGCCAGGTGTGCCCATGAAAGAGAACACGGGGGATTTAGAACTGACCCTGTGGCTCTAACCACAGGCACAGCCCCTGTTCATGGCATGGTCTCCCACAAGACTGCGAGGGTGAGGACCGTGCAGCCTCCTCTCTAATGTCCAGGGCCTCAGGAGAGTCTAGCACAGAGAGGAGGAATGGGTGCTGCACAAAGGACAGAATGAACTGGCAGCATGTCAACTGGTTGACAGTTAGGGCCTGGGACCCCTGTGTCACCCCTGCAAAGCTTGTCCTCAAATTTACGGCTGGACTGGACACCTAGAGCTATGTGGGTTCTGCAAGGAAATAAGGGTTGAATTGGTTTCTAAGAGGAGTGAGCACAGCACTCGCTCGCAGCTTTTCCCCACTTTGTCTTCTGCTCATTGAAACCCTGCCTGTGGCAGGTGCAGCCATGCCTCCTCTTGCATGAAGCTCTGTGTGAACTCTGAGGCCGTGCAGGCTTTCTTCTTCTCTGTTCTCTGCCATTTATTGGCTGAGGACCTCAGAGAGTCCTTTCACCTCCCTGAGCCTCAGTCTTCCATGCTGTAAAATAGGACAATAGTGCTACAAACCTCACAAAGTTGTTCGGAGGGTTAAACGAAGTCAGGCTTGCTGGGCAGCAGCGTGGAGCAGGTCCCCATGGTCGAGAGCTCCCTGCCACACTGTTTCACGTATGTTAGCTCCGACTTCTTAGCAGACTATAAACTCCTTGAGAACAAGAGCCCATCTTTTGGTCTCCTGCGTCCCTCCCAGTGGTTAGCACAGGGCAGGGCTCACTTAACGCTCTCTGAATAACTCACATCTGTTTTTCTTCGAGAGGAAATGCTGATTCTGGATTTTGATGGCAGAGAAACTGTATCATTTCCTTTTCACCCCCTTGCTCTGTCCTGCCATGCACCAGCTCAGGGCTCCACAAACAGGAGCTCTCAGTGATGCCACTGTGAGACCATCAGACAGAGTGTCAGAGGTAACCTTGTCTGCCTGACAGTCTGCCTGGTGTACAATGACCAGACTGAAAGCCCAGCAGGCAGCACCAGGATGGGCCCCATCAGGACACGTGACTCCAGGGCTCCTTTGTGGCCACAGGACCCCATGGCTGGTGCCAGAGGCGAGAATGAAAGATGCCCCATTACCTCAAGCTTAATGACCTGTGTCCTAATTCTGGGTGACAGAGAGCAGAAGGCAGGAAGTCCAGGAGGAAGTAAATCAAAACACACTCAAAGTATATAACTGCAGCCTGGCGGTGCCCTCACCCTAACGCCCTGTCTCTCCCCAACCCACTGCCGACCAACACAAAGAAACCCATCCCAGCAAGGGCAAACACAGAGCAAACAGCACTTGGCTTTCAAAGCTCTCTCTCCCGGAGGGCTCTTCCCCTTCCTCCTCTCTGCCCTCTTCCAGGGACCAGCCTGGGCTGCTCTGTTTATCTCTCTAGGTCACCAAGTACTGGACAGGTGAGGGGCCCTGGGGAGATCCCTGTTTAGCTCCAGAGCCATTGTCATCTCAGCTCTTGACAACATGGAGCCTCCTTGCCCCAGGTCCTCCTGGCTCCAGACCCTTCACAAAGCCATGGCTAGTCTTCTGGGGGCCCCATAGGGCAAAAAGCACCTACTAGACAGGCTTAGTGGGCTAGCCTGGGAACCTAGGCATCTTATGATGTTGTTTACATAGGAAACATGTCCCAGCAGGTTGAAGTTTGGATTGCAGGAAATAAGCACACATCTCTTAGAACCAAAGTAGCTGCCACCTGCCCCCACCTGTATGACCAGAGGCTGTCCCTACTTTGCTGTCAGGAATCTTGGGGACCCAGTGCTCCCAATTTCCTTACGGCTTCCCTTCCCTCTCTCCCGTCGTAGCAACAGTGAGCCCGCCCTACTCCACCCTGCCACGTTATTGCCGGGAGGGGGAAGACTTCCCCCACCTCAGCAGTTGTTCCCCCTGATGGGGTGTCTGGAAGCTAGGTGTCTGTAACTCACGGGTCTGTACATAGCGTGGGGTTACTGTTACCACGACCAGGCTCAGGGGTAAGCAGAGCTGACAGAGAGGCTGAAGAGGGCCTAGGGTGTGGACACTGGTTTCTCTGAGCTCCCCAGAGGCTCCTGCCTAATTTCTCCTGCCCTATCAAGTGCTCAGCCCAGGGGTGCTTGGAGGCCACAAGGTCATGGCTGAGGAACCTGGAGTGTCTTGGTGAGGAATCTAGGAAGACTGCCATGCTCATCGCTCCGTTCTGAGAAAATCAGCTCTTAGCAGGATTTTCTGCAGAAGGGTGCCATGGCTGGTGCCATGATGGTGGGTGGCCTGGCCACTGGTGCCTGGACCAGGACGCCATGGTCTGACTGGACACAAGGAAGTGCTCAGTGCAAGCCCCACCTTGTGAGAACCTTCAGGTTGGACGCTGGACACTTGAGCCCACCAGACCCCCTTGCTAGGCAACGTGACTGCCAGGAACACACAGATGACCTGAGGGACCACCTCATTCTCCATGCACCTCTCTGGGAGACACATCTGGTGCACCCTCCACTGCTGCCCAGCACTGCCATGCCCACAGGTGTGTCTCTTCCTGCCACACCAAGAGAACCAACTTCAGCCGGAGGTGGGGGTAGTCATAGTGCCTACCTCTCTTAATTTCCTTCCCTATTTCCCACTCCCGTCAGAGCCCATGCTGGGTTGTTTCTCCTCTATTCAGAGACAATAGCCTGAACATGGTGCCCATTGTGCCCTCAGTTTTCTTCACCCCACTTGGGTTCCTGGCTCTGGGTGGAAAACAGCATGAGGCTGGGAGTCTAAGAGATTCCAGAGGATCTAGTCTGAGGCAAGCCATTAACCTCAGAAGTGACCTCAGGAAGATGCCCCCGTCTGGGCCTCAATTTCCCATCTGTAAAATGGTTCTCCCAAGTTACAAAAACATTTTCCATTTATCTCTGCTTTGCCACATTCTGTGTAATTTCCACAGATCTATCTTTTTATTCACAAATTCTCTCTTCAGCTATGTTAATTCATTTAACCTGTACACTGAGTTGTTTTTTATTTCTTTTTTATTTTTTTCTCTCTGGGGGCTTCCTCTTGGCCCTTGCTACCAAAATGGCTCTTAAACTGGACAGATCAGGGGATCGGAATGAGGTTTTCTAGCTGCTAAATACCTGCATCCCAATTATGCACTTGGGCAGTAACTGCAAAGGGGTGGATCCATGGAACCACTAGACCGACTGTGAGATGAACTTGGGCCAGGACTCCATCCATCACCAGACCTCTATATGCCCACTCTGACCAGGGGGCCAGCTGAATTAATTTCAATAACTAAATTTTTAATTTTTAGAAGTTCTTTTGGCTTTCTTTTTGCTGTTTTGCCTTGTGCCTTCCTTTAATTATTTTAACACACTTATTTTGTTGGTTTTATTTTGTTTTGTTTTTTGGCCATGCCGTGCAGCTTGTGGGATCTTAGTTCCCTGACCAGGGACCAAACCCGGGAGCTCAGCAGTGAAAGCACGGAGTCCTAACCCTTGGACTGCCAGGGAGTTCCCTTAAAGCACTTATTTTATTATCTCTTTCAGACTATTCTACCATCTCGAGGTATTGAGGAACTAATTCTCCTATTTGCTGACTCTCACTCTGGTGGTACATCTTTTCTGGAGGATTTTTATTTCTTTATTATCAGCTCATTGTTTAACATGAGTATTTGCCACTGGAGTCCTATGTTCTCTGGAAAATGGTTTTAATATGCGTGTTTTCTGGGACCATAGCAGTTTTACCAGTTTTGGTCTTCTTTTCTCTATTTTCGGGGCTTGGGGTTCCCAAACAACTTGGTAAATGTAAATTCAGTCCCTACACCTGTGAGTACCTCAAGCTTGAGCTTTTGTTCTTTAAAGAGAAATTTTCTACCTCTCATGGCCCCAGGTAGATGGAAGCTTCCTTGCAGCTTCCTTAAGGCACTGGCAGCTCAGTCTGACTTATTGAAAAGAAGTCCTCACACTTGGGAGAATTCAAAACTGCTGTTATTTATTCATTTATTGCTGCCTCTCAATAACATATCAGCTTAATAAGACATCAAAGACCACATCTGTCTTTCTCATCACTGTACCTTGAGGGCCAGCCCAGGGACCTGCACGTAGCAGGCTCTCAATACGTTTGCTCGATAAATGGCTGAAGAACATTGATTTCTGGCAGCTCTGCTACAAGAGACAGTTTGAGGCTCTCCTGGACGGGATGATCCCCAAAGTCTCCTACTTCTGCCACCCCTACCTCCTCCCCCAGCCCTGGCACCCTATCCTGGCATGTAAGTAGCTGCACACAGGGCTGGCTGGTTGCGGGGGACTCACTGGAGATGGAGGTGTAGACGGCGAAGGCCCTGAGGCTGGTCATCTCCTTCTTGCGGGTCATCTCCACCCGCGTGCGGAAGATGTTCTCCCAGGCGTACAGCTTGAGCAGTTTGATGCCACGGAGCATCTCGTTGGTCTGCTTCAGCCTCTCGTTGGAATACTCCTGCCAGGAGTCACTGAGTCAGAGAAGGGTTTCTTTTGCCCCCATCCCACCCAAGAGGAAGGAGGTGAGTCAATGCCCTCACCATTTTACAGCCTCCGCCCAGCCTCCGTCTCCTCGGGGATGCTCCATTAATCCCATTTCACAAAGAAACCGAGGCCTGTACAGTTGAAGTGACCTGCTTAAGGTCAATCATAGTGTGGATGTGTGTGTGGGGCGCTGTTTGGTGACATCTGGGGGAAGAGTGAGGAGACCCACTAATGTAAGGGGAGAGGGAGCCGTACAGGGGAAGGATGGGAAAAGGGGGTGCATGCACACCTACAGATACTTACCAGTGTGCTCCGCTGGGCCTGGGAGAGCTTGGTGGCCACAAAATACTGGACTGGAGCCAGCAGAATGATGACAGCTGCTCCAATTAAGGCACTGATTCCAAGGATGTAGTAAAGGAGAATCACACCCACGATGATCTGAGGGAGGGTCATGGGAATGAGTTCCCTTTGATCTGGGGGCTTCCCTGCCAGGGGGTATTGGCACCCCCCCTCCCCACCTGGTAACCCAGTGCCCTAAAGTGGGACATGCCTTTGTGTCCAGCTTTCAAAAGTTTCTTGTGGGAAAGAGGAGGAGGTGTTACAAAGCAATTTCAGAAGGAGGGACTAACATGATGGGCTCTCACACAAGCAGAGAATTTCTGGGCTGGTAACTAATTGCATTTATCTGCAAGGCTGGCTGAGGCATTAACTCTCTCCATGTCTACTTTTGCAGATGGAGGTCTAAGAGGTGAATTTGCACAGTGAGTGACAGCACCTTTTGTTCTATTTGCTGGTTTTCAAGGTTGATGGTTCACTCTCATTGGAAAAAAGTGATACGTAAGCAAAGGAGCAAAATAGCTGTATCCATGCCAGACAAAACCAGTCCAGGGTCTAAGAGTTTACTTTTCATCCTTATGCTCCTGGTGTCTTTAATTTTTAGTGAATCTGGTAGGCATCCTCTAAAAAGAGAATTCATTCTGTTTCTAGCTTTATGTAAATGACAGCTGGCTTCTGAATATTTATGAGAAGTATAAATTACTCTTGCCAGCCCCCAAAGCATCAAGATGACAACTTCTCAGGTTGCCTTCAAAGGCAGACGCTTCTAAATTCAGGACTTATTCTAGAGGAACAGATGTGCTGCTTTCTTAATAGAAAACAAAAGTGTGTCTGGGTTGGCCCTGCACTCCCTGAGCCCTACACCAAATTGGCACTAGGCTCCTGCACCATCTCAAGGGCCAAAGAGTGGGTGGGTGGCTCTGTTGTGTCTATTAGTTAGAGAATGCCTCCTGCATTAGCAGGTTCCTAGGGGGCGGGTAAGTGACCCCTTTACCACCTGCCTCCCAGTGTTGAACTGATGTTAAATGCTGGCATGGATGGGCAGAGGAGCACATTAGGAGATGAAAAACCTTCCTCCTCTTGCTGGCCCCCACTCCCAACATCCTTCTGGAAAACTATCCCTGGCTTCCACTCTTTCCATTAGCTGTCCTCATTTGGAGGCAGTCGGGGTGTTGTTTAGCAACTTGGGTAGAGCAGGATACCAGGGAAGCTCTCAGACCACTGCCAGAGTCACCGCCAGGGCCCCGGCTGGGGGGTCAGTGTCTGCACGCCCACCACCTCCAAGGCTGGTAGCTGCTGGGGCAAGAGCTGGGGATGTGACGACTTCTACTGCCACCAGGCTCCTCCTCACACTTCAGCCACCCTTTGTCACGTTCCCCAGACCCTTCTGCCCCCTCTGCCCTTCTGCAGGGGTCTGAATGGACCCTGTGAGAGAACATACCAGAAATCAGGGATTCTGAGTGTGCAAAGCAAGTGTGGGGAATAAAAGGACTATTTCATCTCCTAGTCTCAGGCTAGGAAAGCAATCTCGTGTAGTGGTGGGGGAGTCTGCAGCCGAGTTTGAATGCAGTCCCAGCATTTACTGGCAGTGCAATCTTGCATCTCAGCATCTTCATTTTTAAAATGGTAATTTTAATTGCCGCTTTAGCAGGACTGTTGTGAAGATTAAATGAACATATATATGATAAGAACCTAGAATAGTGCCTGACACTTAGCTGGAGACAAGGTGGCTGACCTTTTTTTAAAGATCTTTTTTTGATGTGGACCATTTTTAAAGTCTTTACTGAATTTGTTACAATATTGCTTCTGTTGTTTATGTTTTGGTTTTTTGGCTGCCAAGCATATGGGATCTTAGCTCCCCCACCAGGGATTGCAGGGATCCAACCAGTACCCCCTGCAGTGGAAGGCAAAGTCTTAACTACTGGGCCACCAGAGAAGTCCCTGACCCTCCTTCTTAAAAACAAACAAACAACCCTCATGGGATCTCTGTCACTAGGGAACCACAGAAAGGCGATACCTGGGTATGGTGCTCCTACCAGCTCACTGTGTGGCCCAGGGTAAGGTCCCTGCCCTCTCTGGGCCTCTGATGCCCATGGCATGAGGAAGCACAGAGGTCCCCACTCTGGTCAAGATCTTTGACATGGCTGTCAATAAGCTTCAGGGGGTCCGCAAAGCCCCTTAAATTGTAGGCAAAATGTGTGAATGCACATTTGTTTTTCTGAGAAGAAAGTTTCATTAGGTTTTCAAAAGTAGATGTAGATCAGTGGTTGCTTAGAGCTGGGGGCAGGGATGAGGAGTGACTTCCAGTGGATGTCGGTTTCTTTTTGGGGTGATGAAAGTGTTCTAAAATTGTGATGATGTTGCACAACTCTGTAAACATGCAAAAGTGAATTGTACACTTTAAATGGGTGAATTATATCTCAATAAAACTGTTATTTAAAAAAGTATATGTGAATAAAAAAGATTACAAATCAGGGTGAGCCCCTGGGGACAAAGGAACAGGGGCTCCTGAGCTAATTTCAATACCATCAAAAGCCTCATGTGCCCTGTGGCCAACCAGGCTCCACATGGAATCCTGACCTGGTCGAAGGAATTCTATCAATTCCGGTGGTAACACTGTGTCTTGAGGCTGGTCAAAGCTATAAGGGCAAAGGTACAGTCTTTGAGGAATTAAAACAGAAAATCAAATGATACTTCATGATAAATAAGGAAATGTAAGTACTTTGCGGAGGTAAAAATTCTTACCTAATCTCCCCCACCCCCCGCATCCCCCCCACCCCACCCCCAGCCCCGGTGTTGTGAGAGTTAATTACACAAGTGAGACAGGCTGGGCAGGCCAGTCACAGGGCAGGGGCTATCAGCTATTAGTTTTGTTAGCAATGGTACATGTGCAACAAACACTATTAATGATAGTAACCAGGGACTTCCCTAGTGGCGCAGTGGTTAAGAATCCGCCTGCCAATGCAGGGGACATGGGTTCGAGCCCTGGTCCGGGAAGATCCCACATGCCACAGAGCAACTAAGCCCATGCGCCACAACTACTGAGCCTGCACTCTAGAGCCCGCGAGCCACAGCTACTGAGCCCGTGTGCCGCAACTACTGAAGCCCGTGCGCCGCAACTACTGAAGCCCGTGCGCCTAGAGCCCGTGCTCTGCAACAACAGAAGCCACTGCAATGAGAAGCCCCGCACACCGCAACGAAGAGTAGCCCCTGCTCACCGCACCTAGAGAAAGCCCACGCGCAGCAATGAAGGCGCAATGCAGCCAAAAAAATAAAAATAAAAATAAATAAATAAATAAATAAAATTTTAAAAATAAAATAATAGTAACCATAACAATGCAGCAGGTCTGGTGGACAAAATCTTCCCAAACGGGTTGTTCAAGGAAACACAAGAGAAACGATAAAAGGCTGTGACTATTAGATGAGCTCTCCAGGCCCTTCTATAGTTTCTGTAGTCACTGATCCATCTTGGCAGAGTGGAGGGGGGCACAGGGATCCGGGTGTTGGTCAGTGGTAATAGGGAATGGCGTATATGGCTGTTCCCGTAAAAAGGACCATCAGATTTCTTGCCCTACATCCAATCTTGTCTAGCTGCCTCCCTATGCAAGCCTCTCCTTCTGTTTTTCTTTAGTGTCTCTTACATATAAACTTTACAGGTAAGGAAGACCAATATACATCACTTTAGATTAAGGTTTATGGAATCTACATCCCAAGAAGCAATGGATTCTGGATTGGTAAAGTTCTTGCATCAAAGTGAGCAAGTTAGAGGGCTGTGATGTTTACTTAGTGACCACTCTATGGCAGGCACTGTGCTTGGTGCTTTGCTTACATTATCTAATTGAATCATCAGAACACCTCCAGAGGGTAGGAATCATCCTCTTTTCCCAGATGAGGAAACCGAGGCTCAGATAGGTTAAGTACTTGAATCAGCCTGCCTCACCCAAGTCCAGACACTTTCTGCTATACCAGGCATCCCCTGTGAAGCCTGCAGGCCCTCTGGGAATGGATCTTGGATTTCAGTTTCCGGCCTGAGCACCAGAGTGAAGATTCATCTTCAGGCACACGGCAGGAATCACAGACTCTGTGGTGGAAGAGCTCCAGATGCGAGATGGAGCAGATGAGGCCAGGAGTCAGGTAAACCATGCCGGGGATTCTCATTCTACTGTTGGGGGAGCATGTGCCTCCTCCAGAGCCAGTCCCAAAAGTTGCCTGGCTTTAGGAAATGCCATGTTTTAGATTTCCAAAATTAACACAGGTTTATTGGAGAATTTAGAAACGCATAAACAAAATAAAAATCACTTGTAATCCCACCACGAGGACTTTCAGTTCTTTTTTCTCCTGTGTGAATCTGTACAAATATATACGTGTGTATATTCCAATTTAGCAGGAAGCACGCTGTGAATACTATTTTTAACTTACTCTTTTTGCTTAAAAATACATCGTGAACACTTTTCAATGTAATTAAGTACTCTGCTATAACATAACTTTTAATGTCTGTGAAAGTGTTCCACACATGATTATTCTATACATTTTTTTTAAGGTTGGCTACATTTTAAAAGTCTTAGTGACACTGCCTTCTCTGATCATCAAGAGAGATGGCTAGACCACTTGCAGAGTATAAGACAGTATAGACACCCAGGCATACACTCCATGGAGACCCCAAGGGGATAGAAGGTACAGGCAAACAAGGAATGGAAGATGGTGAGCTTCTGGCCACTGGGCATGTACCAGCGGATTCTGGTTTTGTGTCCCCCAATCCCCAACAAAGCACACATCCCTTACCTGTACTGGCATAGCCCAGAGGTTTGGGCACAAGAAGAAAAACCACATGAGCTGGTTGGTGTCGATGGCTACCAGGTTACAGATCTGCCCGGCAGTCATTTCCCCCATGGATAGGTTGGAGGTGGACAGGTGCATAATTTTATTGTAAATTTTGGTCTGGAAATGAGAGCAGAGTGTTTCACATTTGTCATCATCGACATCCTAATCACCACCCCAGATGCCATGTGTCTCTAACGTGCCAGGGGCTTCTCAGACATTCCCCCATGGAGCCCCAGAGCAGCTCTGTAAAGGGCACTGCATGATTGTTCCAGTTTTACAAATGGAGTCACTAAGGCTCAGAGAGGTAAAGGGCATTGACTATAGTTCAAGCAAGTCAGAGAGGCAGCATTCGCGTGAGGAATCTGTGCTAGCATGGCAAGCTACTTCCCCAGCAAGCAAGGCCTTTCCCTTGGAGACAGGACTTAATTAGCTTTTAAATCTTAAAAGCAGATTTTCACGTCCAGTTGTATTCTTGATTTACCGGAGGTCCGTGGAGAACACACTTTAGAGCCATAAAAATGATGAAGGGTGGCAGCCATCTGTTTTAATGCGGCTTCTTCACCTGGGAAAGGGGGTATGCTCTGGGGCCAAGTCCTGTCTTAATTGAGCCTTTAAATAATACAAGGATTCAGCCTGGGAAGGTCTTATGTGAGACAAATGCTTGTGTCGATCAGCCCCAGCACCTTCTGGAGTCTGGCCACCCCAAGGACCTTGACCAGGGTAGATGGGGAGCAGCCATGGCAATGGCTCCCTGTGAACTCCGAACCTAAAAGCTCTATGTGCACGGTGACTGTGCCCCCCAGAAAGATGGCAATTGTCAGGCTCTGTGCCCTTAAACAAGGAAAAATGCATTCCCTTTAGGGATGCCTGCTCTTGAATGAAATTCTACTGTGCATTCTGTTGCAAGGTGGATTCCCAGCCCTTAATTCATCTTTTGTGTAAACCCAGGCTTTTTCATGGGTCAGGTCTGCTTAAAGCATGAACCTGTTCTGTCTTTTACGAGTTTATATGTACCATGGGTAAGGTTTAATATAATGGCAATGACTTTTTTGACAGATCTATGCTCATCTTAAGTTATGTGCAATAAGTCTTTAAAGAATAGTAATAAATCTAGTTTCAGTGAAGTAGGAACATACAGTAAACCATCAAATAAAGCATTATTAAGACCAGGATATAGAGAATTACATGACCGAAACCTGGTATATGTCAAAAATTATATATAATACAGGAATCTTGCTTCATAACTTTTCATGCAAGAACTGTCGTTGTTCTCAAACTCATGAAGACATAAACCCTTATCTATAGATTTCTGTAAATCTCTGAAAGGAAGAAGTTTTTTTCTAATTTGCTCCCATAATTAATGCCAGCATTTTCTTTCGGGGACATAATGAATTCGTGCAAAAGATTCAGACAGTTTAATAAAAATGATTACATGCTAATACATTAAAAAACCATATTTGACTTTTTTAGTATAATTGGAAAATATTGGGCTAGTGTGTGATTTATGACAGAAATAGAAAGTAGATTTAATTACAAAACTGCTTGACTACGAAGTTGGCTGTTGTTTGTGGTGATACATGCCTGCCTGTCACTGGAGGGGGTCTGGACAGAGCTTGGGATTTTAGAGAGGTTTTCTGAACTAGCAATAGCTTGGTTCTCCTAGATCTGAACCCCTATGAGTCTTAGAGGGTCTTAGATTTTCCTGGGATCTTTCTACCATTCTCACTTGATGACATTCATGAGGAAATGAAAAACCACTGGAGATGGACAGCTCCACAAGCTGTGCACTATACAACTCCAGGGGGCGCCACTCACATGGACTATATCAAGATAACCAGAGTTTGGACCCAGACACAGTCTCCAGCCCAGGCTATACCCTTCTCTTCTCAGTTCCTTTTCTGCAATGCCTCTGATCCTGGCTCCCAGAGGACCAATCAATGTTCATGATTCTGAGAAACATTTCTGAAGAGTGAGCTGGCTTTGGGATTGAGTCACAACTTCCTAGTGTTCTACTGACTTCATGGGAATTGCTGGGTATGGCAGAATCTACCAGCTGCCCTCCACTATCCATTCTTTTCTTTCTGTAAGAAGAATTTCTAGCAGGGCATATATGGCTGTCAAGAATAAAGGCCAGGGACTTCCCTGATGGTCCAGTGGTTAGGACTCCACACTTCCACTGCAGGGGGCATAGGTTCGATCCCTGGTTGGGAAACTAAGATCCCACGTGCCGTATGGTGCGGCCAAAAAAAAAAAAAAGAAAGAAAAGAAAAAGAATAAAGACCACACTTTCTAGCCTCTCTAGGTATAGCCATGTGGCCAGTTTCTCCCCAGTGGGATGGGAGAGGATCTGCGCAACTTCCGCATCATGATTTGAAAAGACATTAGGTCTTCCTATTGTCCCATCTTTCTTCTTGTCGGTTTAAATGTGGACACAATAGTGGCAATTTCAGTAGTCACATTAAACCATGAGACAAAGTCATGTAAGAAGGCTGGCAAAGCAACATTACAGAAGGAGCCAAGGTCTCTGATGATTGTATAGCTGCCGCATCAGCCCTGAGTAAATGTGCAAAACAAACTTTTATCCTATTTAAACCACTATCACACTGGGTCTCTCCATTCCAACAGTGGAACCAAAATTCTAATGAAAACACTGGGGCTTGGGGCTTCCCTGGTGGCGCAGTGGTTGAGAGTCCGCCTGCCGATGCAGGGGACACGGGTTCGTGCCCCGGTCCGGGAAGATCCCACATGCCGTGGAGCAGCTGGGCCTGTGAGCCATGGCCACTGAGCCTGTGCATCCGGAGCCTGTGCTCCACAACGGGAGAGGCCACAACAGTGAGAGGCCCGCGTACCGCAAAAAAACCAAAAAACAAAAAACACTGGGGCTCATCACCACCTTGCCTAATGGGACCCTGAATCCTTCCTGACCTTGACCATCCTTTCAACCGACTCTGAGAAGGAAGCCACAGCAGACAGGAACAAGAACCTAGACCCAGGGACTTACCAGGCCGGGTACGTCTCTCTCGTCATGACCCAAGATTTAAGAGTTCAAATAGATCTTACAGTCTATCTAGTCTTGGTATGTCAAACATGCTTCTTTGTAACCAGAGAAGACTGTCTGGTAACAGAGCCCTGGAACAATATTTATAGAAGGATTCTTAGGCTGCACTTGCATTCAGCAGGAAAAAGTGCTGTGATTGATTAGTGATGTCTGTCCCATTCAAGGCTGAGCAGTTGACATCTCAGATCTAGTCCAAGGCAGAACTAGGGCTAGAACTACTACATTTCCCAAGACCAGCCCAAGGCACTCTCCACTATGTCACACTGCCTTGTCAATGGTTATCGTTTCAAAACACTGTTAAAGGGTAACAAGAAAATAAATGCACAGCAGAATCATTCTTGAGCGTCCGTGAGGACAAATAATGCAGTTCTTATTGTGAAGTGAAAAGAATAATCATTCAAGTACCTGTATGGCTCCTCTCAAGTTAATTCCAGTTTCAACGGCGACGTAGTACGATGCTTGCAGAAATGTCCTTTGCAGTAGGAGGGCAAGGAACAGAAGCACGGCTAAGACGTAGGCATTAGCAAGGAACTCTTGGGATGAGACAAAGTAAACCCCGAGAAACTGTGTCTGTTGGAAAGAGAAATTCAGAGGTGGCAGTCGTGGCCAGCAAAATGACTGCCATTGGTACCTGTTACTGGGCCATAGAGGCCATTATTATAGGACCCTCCATGCTTGCAAGCCTTGGGCAACTGTTTATGAGTGAAAAATCAGACTAGCATTCTTCTAACTATAGGGAGGGTTGCCTATACTCTCCCCATCAATAAACTTAGGTGAACAGAATGTGGCCCAGTTCTAACCTCATGCCCATACATATGACTCAGCTTTTCGGCCACCAGGCCAGGGGAGCTCACTCTGAATAGGACAAGAATAAATAGAGCGAATCACAGAGCAGCCAAAACTAGAACTGCTAGAACAGATCCCACGACGTATGTTCTCTGCTACAAAAACAGAATCAGCTGAGGCCTTGTCCCACATTCACCAACAGCGCGCACTATAGAAGCTTCTGGGGAGAAAGACCAGCAGAAAACATGGCAGTAGTGCTCCCAGGCGAGAGATGGGAACTCATTGCCTATACTCGACTATTTCAGGCCCAAGCGCCCCAGCCTTGTGGGCTCCTGGGACCTCCTTTTAAATGTAAGGCTTCCTGCACCTCCAGCAAGATCTCAGATGATAAGCAGTGGGGGAAAAAAAAACCCAAACACTTTGACTTCATTGCTAAAGATACCAGGGAACAACAGCATGTGTTTCTAAATTCATCAACAGCTCCTGGGACAACTTTGATCTTTATTAAGTCCATGGCTCCCCAGCAGAGCCACATCAGTGTTTCCATGAAGACATAGCTCTCCCCTTCCGGAGACTCTGCCCTGAACTTTGCAAGTGATTTGGAAGGGTGTGGGAACTGTTGCTGCGGGATAAACAGTGGTGGGAACAAAGTGCTGAGAAGGAGCCTGATGGCATGTCCACACCAGAGCAGGCTGAAAGGGTCAGGATTCTAAGCGAAGTCCTGTTCCTAGAGTCAGAAATTCCTACATCCTGGATACAGGCCTTTCTGATGGTAGAGAAGATCTTGTCTCTTGGTTCAACAGGCCCCTTTAACCAGCTCTCACAGCTCCATGGAGCCGGTCCTGGTTACAACTGTATGGCCCTTCCTCTGTGGCATGGGGTCTCTCCCTTTTGGGGACAGCGAGGAAGCAGATATAGGGAGAAGTGAGGTCTCTTAGAAGGGGGTCCTACTGACACCTGAAGCCCCTGACTCTGTCTCATTTGTTAAAGTACAACAGGAAAAGGGAGAAGGGAGAAGGGAGAGGGTGGGGATGGCTGGAAGCAGCAAAATGGACCTTAAAACTAGGCCACATGGCTTAAGAACCCGACCTTACAGGGAAGCAAGGGGCAGGATACAATATTTACCGGGTGCAACGCTCACAATACGTAATGAGAAGAGTACCATTATTAGCCCAATTTTACACATGAGGAAATGGAGTTTCAGCATGGTTAAGTGGCTGGCCCAAGGTCACATGCTGATAAAGGAAAACAACACGTGAACATGAACCTGTATGATGCCAAAATCACTACCGTAGATCCACTACTTAAGCCTCATCCAGTCTTTTGACCTTGAGTCTCCTACTGTCAGCTACAAGCTTGTGACTTGTGGGGGACTGAAAGATGCCCACCTGCATGGTTCTGGGTCAAAAATGTAGTCACCCGGGCTTGGGAAAAACCTGGTCCTGTTTAACATGCCTTGGAATTCTTCTGTTCTACCAGCCTCTGTAGAGACCCAGCTCTGGAGAATAGAGTCCATTATTTTAAAGCCACAAAGCACATCATGGGGGTTTATCCCAAAGGAAATAATTTAACATAAGGAAAGAGCTGTATGTGCAAAGATGTACTATCTCTGGATTATAGCAGGGGGAGAGTGCAAAAATCCATGTAAATACCTAACCACAGGGAATGGGTAAGTATATTAGGATGCTCATGGGAACGCTATGCAACCAAGAACACCAGTTACCATGAAAGCTCTCGAGCAGCACGGAATGGCGCTCATTCACTGTGTCACAATGATCAGAAAGCACATACGCTGGGGAATGAGGGCTAGAAAACTCAACCGATCTCATTGGTTAGGCTGTGGGTGCGACTTATTAAATGCACTCATCAGTACTTGTACATTTTCCACAAAGCAACAAGTTCTCACTTTTCCGGTCTAAAGGCAAAGCCTTGACCCCTTCCCCTAACAACACACACACCCTAGGGTCAGAAATAATATTTATTTGGATCAAGAATTTTGTGACCTGTTAAAATGAAAATCTGCTTGCAGGTATAAGTCATTGATTGGGTCATTATTTGATCTCTCTTCAAAGAGACAGCGTAAAAGAGATGGAGGCCAGAATAGCTACATTTTGATTAAGAAGTGGGTTGTAGACTAGCCAAAGAGGGCTAGGATGCTGCCCAAGGAAGGCAGGCCCTGGGAAGCTTCAAATGGCTGTGAGAGCACTGTGAAGACTGGAGAGAAAAGGCCAAGGACTTACAACTTGACATTTGGCGGGTGGTAAATGCTTTGGAAGATCAGATGTCCTTGTCTCACATTTTCACAAGCTCTCAGGGAGGAAATCGTGTTTGTTTCCAGGGGTTTCCCCAGTAGCGCTCAATAAATATGTTTTAAATTAATCAATGCATATGATCTTCATCCCCCATCTACTCTTTATAGAAGCTATACATTTCCCCATTTTACAGTCGAGCCAACAGAGGCCTGCAGAATGTAAGTGACTGTTGAAGGGCGCAGAGGGAGTTTGTTGCAGAGGTAGGCCTAGCACCCAGGGCTCTACAGGTCTGATTCCCGTTGCCCCTGCCTGGCCAGAGGTATGACTGGAAAGCCTCCTTTCCCTTGTTCTCTGGAGCTTAAAGGAGAGGGGGACACTTGGGATCTTGCTTCCAATTTTGGCAAGGGCCAAAAAGTGAATTGCTTGTAGGTCCCAGTTCCGGGAGGCCCTGGATAAAAACACTGAGAACTGTCTTTGACCACTCACAGACCAAGGCACCCAGCCATCCATCCACAACCATTTGACATCGTGGTTTAGAGCTTAGACTTTGAGATTAGCCATATCTGAGTTTGAATTCTGACTCATTAGGTTAGCTACTGTGTCCTTAGTAAGTTCCTCAACCTCTCTGAGCTTCAGTTTCCTTACCTGAAAAATGAGGCCATTAAGGGTTTCTACTTCAGAGTTGTTATGAGAATCCAATGTAACAATGTAGGTAACAAATTTTTTTAGTAAGTGTAAGCAGTAACAGTAACATCTACATTATTCATTGAAGAATAATCTCTCCTGTGCCTCCTGGGTGTCAGGCACGGAGCTGGGCACATAGAGGTCAGACAATGCAGGTCCTGTCTTAGGAGACTCAGGGTCAAGTTGAGGAAAAAGAAAAGGGGTGCTTTGATGGTGCAAGCATAGGATATTATGGGAGCACAGAAGAGGAGCATCTAATTCAACCAGAGGAAGGCTTCCTGGAGGAGGTGACATTGGAGATGCATCTTGGCAGCTGAGATGGGGTTAGTGATGCGCGCCAGACCAGAGCAGCTCATGGGCATTGTTGTAAAGAGACCAACCCACATGCTGACATCACAAAATCATAGAAATGCATATAAGTTCTCAAAGTACCCACAGTGATAGCCACAAATATAGGCGTCCAAATGGGGACACAGATATACACAGAAAGAGACATACCAAGAGACACAGGGACAAACAGAAGGAACATACGTATACACCTATAAGCAGGTCTCAGGAGAACTCATTCAGAAACAACACACACTCACTAACCTACACATGACTCCCACCGAGGTTTAGAGGCCATTCGAAGCTTTGGCCCTGAGATCAAACCCAGACTATTCTTTTTCTCTCTACTCAGCTCACAGCCTAGAGCAGTGCTGGCAGGTTTCAGATGCCAGCAGTTCTTTATAAATCCTTGCCCGCCTGACAGATCAGAGGCATTCATGGCAGGTGACAGATTGTTGGAGGGGGTTGGGTGAGAGAGGGGGCTGGAAAGAGATCTCTTGTGGGTTGTGCACAGCCTGGGTCCCAGCTTTCCTTGGGGAGTGGCAGGGGGACAGGAGTGTCAAAGATCTAGCAAGCTATATGACACTTCCAACAATAAAAGAAGAGATAAGAAATGCTTGTCCTTGAAGATGCCAAGGGCGGTATGATTCTTGCCAACTGTGAGTATCCTGGCAAGGGAAGACAGGACAGGGCAGCCACTGATAATAAAGTAAACAATGGGCGCCTGGCTGTGCTGACTGCAGCAGGTTGGATTCAGGCTGAGCAGAAAGAAGGGCTTTCTCACTGAGAGGGTTGTTAAACATTGTGACGTGTAGCTAGAGAGCTTCCTTCTTTGTTCATAAAGACCAGAATAGCACCTGTCTCTCTGGGTTAGAGCTGCCTGCCGGGAGGCAGTGGGGTGAACCAAGTAACATTTTTTTTTTTTTTTTTTGCGGTACGCGGGCCTCTCACTGTTGTGGCCTCTCCCGTTGCGGAGCACAGGTTCCGGACGCGCAGGCTCAGCCGCCATGGCTCACAGGCCTAGCCGCTCCGCGGCATGTGGGATCTTCCGGGACCGGGGCACGAACCCGTGTCCCCTGTATAGGCAGGCGGACTCTCAACCACTGCGCCACCAAGGAAGCCCTGAAGTAACTTTAATAAATGACCCCTTTCCCCCACTTTCTGGGCCCAGAAGCCCAAATGAGAATTAAGCCATATCCCAAGCAACCACACGATTGAGGACTCTTTGTTGCTGACACTGGAGACTATATTTACTTTCAACTCTCGTTTCTATGTCTGTAATTTGCTGATCGTATTTGGGCTGCAGGGAACAAATATTAAATTTGATAAGGCCTGCTGCCACTGAGGCAGTGCCATCTGTCTCGGTGATTTATGTGCCAACAAGTAACTGAGACAAGAGCGTTCCAATGAGAGGGCAGCAAATCCCAGGGTTTGTGTATAAACAAAGAGAAAAGAGAAGGCAAAGCTAACATTCAGATGAACTAATATTCTAAGTGTTGTTCTCACCATCTCTTTGACACATCCGCCGTCAGAGTTCTTAGGCGACTGGCATAAGAGTTTTGGGAGACATAGGAAGGAGAAGACGATGTGGACAAGCTGATAAGGGCTCTGGCTGGTGTCACTTCCCCCTAATATTAACAACTGGCTCCATGCTGCTGCAGTTTTATCAATATGGAGTATTTGGGGGTCACCTAAGGTCAGACTGAACCTGAAGGTGACACTCCTGCGGACAAGAGAAGCAGTCTCTTTCCCCCTCTTTTGAGGCCAAATAAAGTTCAGCGGCTCAAAAGCCACTGAAGTCTAAATAAGCAAAAAGAGTCTTCAAAGTTTTTTTTTTTTTTTTTTAGGCTTTCTCAAGTTTCTTTTTTAAGAAATTGATACATTATTTAAGCATTTTCTAAAAGCATAAAAATTGTGAAGTACAGTAAAGTTTTCGTAAAATTTATTTCAAAGTTAATAGTGCTCACATTCTTGATTGAACAAGAAATCTACCCATCTTAGCCTAGCCAACTCCTATGCATCTGTCAAGGTCCCATTCAAATACCCTCTCCTCTATGAAGCTGTCATGATCACTGGCTGAGTTAGTCACTCCTTCTTCCCATAGTTCCTTGTATCTACTTCCGAGTAGTAGTATTTAACACATGGTATAAAATATTTTATTTAGATTTCTCTCTCCTCCATTGGGTTTCACAATCCTTGGAGCCAGCGGTGATGGCTTGATAATAATAACCAATTTAGCATCATGATTGTAAATGCCCAGACTATGGAGTGAAAGAGACTTGGTTTCAAATCTTGACTCTGTCACTAACTAGCTGAGAGACCCTAGGGAAAGTTACTTAACCTCTTTGAGCCTCAAGTTCCTCATCTGTAGAATGGGAATTAAAATACCTACCTTATAAGTTGTATGGTTATGTGAATTATATCTCAATAAAACTGTTACAAAAAAAACTTACCCTAAAGGGCTGTTTTAGGGATTAAATGAGATAGCAAATGGATAACTTCTGCACACAGCCAGGCATGTATCAAGCAGTCAATAAATGGTTGTTATTATTGTTAATCTCCTCATCGTAACCATTGCCTCTATATTCTGACAGCCTAACCCAGGTCTGGCACATGGTAGGGTTCAATAATCATTTGCTGGGCTTCCCTGGTGGCGCAGTGGTTGGGGGTCCGCCTGCCGATGCAGGGGACACGGGTTCGTGCCCCGGTCCGGGAAGATCCCACATGCCGCGGAGCGGCTGGGCCCATGAGCCATGGCCGCTGAGCCTGTGCGTCCAGAGCCTGTGCTCCGCAACGGGAGAGGCCACAACAGTGAGAGGCCAGCATACCGCAAAAAAAAAAAAAAATCATTTGCTGAGTAAATCAGACAAACAGACTTGGAGTGTCTCATATTCCCGGCCAAAAGTACTCAGCTGATTAATTATACCTCTGGAAAAAATTCATATGAACCTCCTGAGGATTAAATGGTATCTGCAATTTTGGAGCCCACGAGATGAATAACACTACACAAGGGAGAGTCGTAAATTAGTAGTCAGATCCCTAATTAGTAATTCCCTGCATCATTTTTGGACTGTCTATTTGTGGTTAAAAGGTTATAATGATGTTCCTGCTGGGAAAATAAGACTCTGAATTTTATTAGAGGTGAAAAGTTTTCCGCTTCGTGACCATCTAAACCTAAGTGGCAGCAAAGAAACAGATGGAAGAATTAAGTACTCCACCCTCACCCCCAGAGTGGATGTTATTGCCCCAAGGAAGGAAACTAAATCCCAGAAAGATTTTTCTGTCGCTGTTGTCCGACAAATTTCAGTCTGTAGCATCTTTAGAGCTGGAAAGGCCATTGGATATCATCTAGTCCAATGGGCTTCAAATATTTTTAAGACATGGAACTCTTTTTAAAAAAGAAATTTTAATGGGCAAGTCTAACATACTAATAAAACTGGGGCAGCTTTTAATAAAATTTGTAGTGGAGGGAGAAAAAGCCCTACACACGGAGGTTTCCCACTCTCCTCCCCCCAACAGCAGCCACCAAGATGGCCCTGCAGAACCTTGAGTGCTGTGCATATACAAAACTGAAGAAGATAGATCCCCGAAAAGTTATTTAGAGTCTGTTAAGATGACATGAACTAAAAGCTAACAAATAGAAGCTCTAGACACTGGATAAACAAATGCACTTCCTGCAACCTTCTGAATGATGACGTAACTGAGAGAGGTATTATGGTGACTATGGTATGGTGAAAAGAGCAAGGCGCCATAAATCCTCTAGGGGCACAAGCTTGCCTTCTAACATTTCTGTTGACCAGATGCAGAGCATCTCCTAGAGGGGGATATTGCTAAGGGCTCTGTGCGTCATAAGGAGCTGCCCCGTTGCAGCCACAGCTCACACACTTCGGCCTCTTGCCCTTTCTCACCCGTGAGTGAAAACCTTGCAAAGGGTGCCCTGCTCTACCCCTCGGTGGCCTACCTTGGGCTGGAAGACGCGATCCTCCTTTCCAAGGTGGTCCACGATTCCAAAGATGCACAGTGGCCCAGCGAAGCCCAGCAGGTCAGCCAAGATGCGGAAAGTGCTGCTGAGGACCAGGCGCCTCCCGAAGGCATGGCAGAGGGCCTGCCAGATGGCCCGGGCACCCTGTGTGCTTTGCATGTCCTTCCGCTGTCCAGAGAGACCCATGGCCAGGTCAGAGTGGCTGAGGGCCCGTTCACAGCAGGGCCCAGCTTCCCAGGGAGCTCCTGGCTCCTGCTGCCTGGGGAAACCCAGTGGCATCTGCTGCAAAAAGGCGAACTCCAGGAAGACATTATGGAACCACCAAGTGTGTGGTTGTGTGGGTCCACATGGGGACCCAACATGGTCCAGATGGGGAAACTGAGGCCAGATGATGGATCAAGGTCACACAGCTGGTCAGGGCCTACGTGGTGAGCACAGCACTGTAATGCTGTGATGAACTGTACTGAGGGAGTAAATATGCCAGTCCAGTGCCGCTGTGTCTGCCTCAGTGTCTCCCCTTGATGCCAGGGCAGAAGCAGCGAAGGAGCACTGGACTGGGAGTCAGGCAACCGGCTCTACTACCTACCAGCCGTGGGCCAGCTCTGGGGAGGTCACAGCCTTTCTCAGGGCCTCAGTTTCCTCATCAGTGATTTGGAAAGATGCCTGCCTAGCTCAAATCATAGAGTTATTGTAAGGATCAGGCTACTAATGCCCCTGCTCTCCAAATGGATGAAAATTCCCACCTTTACAGTCACTGGGCTCCAAAAGGAAGAGCACAGGGCATGGGAAATCAGTACCTCCCTTCAGGGCCTCAGTTTCCCCACATGGACAATGAAAGTGTTAGACCAGATGAGCTAAACTGTGAGGGCCATTCCAGCTGTGACTGTCCTATGAGTCTTTGGTCTTGGACTTGTCCCTGGTTCACTGTGTGACTTAGGGCAAGCCTCTTCCTCTCACTGGGACTCAGTTTCCCCACTGTCCCATCAAGGGTTTGACCTGATACTTTCTGATGTCCCCATCTGTGGCTCTAAACCAGAGGGCAGGGAATGGATGGTGGGGCCATGCCCCCACTGACCTCCTGGGCATCAAAGGCCTCGCAGAGCCGCTGGTAGTTGGTGAGGGCCCTCATGGCAATGGGCAGCTTCCCAATGGCTCGGAGATCAATGGGCTTCTTGTGGGCAGTCTTGATGAAGGCGTTCATCCACCAGTAGGTGCCTTTGGACAGCAGGTTCACGAAGGGCTGCAGGAAGCGCACCCCCAGGTCCTGCAGGTCCTCTGGGGGCTTCACCTCCCTCGGCATCTTGAAGAAGATGTATCTCTGTGGGGCACACGGGTCACTGAGGATGGGTAAGTGCACCTTCTCACCACCCTCCATTCTGCCTCAGCAAAGATCTGGGGTTGTGACATCCCACCCTTGACCTCTAATAGATGGGGCCATCATTTGCCTATTCCCAGGAAGAGGATCCCCCAACTCCTCTTGGCTACCAGTGCCAGGGCCTCCTGACTCATAACCCTTCATCGAGGGCCACTCTGAATCCCCTGGGGTGGGTTGGGTTGGGGAGGAGCAGGAATCTCCCATATACCATCTTCTCCTACAGTTCTGAAGATGCCATTGTGTTTCATATAGGGTTTGCAGAATGTGGAGCCATGCAGACCTGGGTTTGAATCCTGCCTCTTCCGCTTACTAGCAAGGCGTCTTTGGACACATCTCATCTAAAGTGTATCCTCATCTAAAAAGGGGATGATGTGAGGGTCAGTGGAGGTAGGGAATATAGAAGCCTCTATAGCCTGCAAATCACCAACTAAAGCAGAGGAGTCAGAGAATGCAGATCAAAGGAGCACTTTATGCTCATCAGACTGGCGCAAATTAGAAATGGCTATAGCCCCCCTTGCTGGTTGGAGAAAGGGAAAGCGCTTTCTGATTCACTGCTGGTAGGTTACAGCATTTCCGGAAGGTAATCTGCAGCATCAACTAACATTTAAAATACACAGACCCTTTGAGCCAGTAACTCCACTCCTTGGATTCTCTCCCAGAAATAAAAGCAGCAATACATAAAGATATAGGAATGTTGAATATGCCATTATTTATGAAGGTAAAAAGTTGGCAACAAAGTGAATGCCCATCAATAGGGTAATGGCTGAATAAATTATGGCTCATCCATACGATGGAATATTATGCAGCCATTAAGGAAGCGAAATTAACCATATCAGACTTGGAGGGAGTCACAAGGGATACCTGTTAGATGAGAAAGCAAGCTGTGAAAAACTATGTATAATATGATCCCATTTTTATAAAACTAATATTGAAAGAAAAAAACAATACTTATATGTGTTGAGAAGAAATTCTTAACACATTATATTAATTATATTAATAAAAGCAAGGAGGTATTTAAAAGAGGTATAATAAAAGGTATTATATTAATAAAAGCAAAGAGGTATAATAAAAGGTATTATATTAATAAAAGCAAAGAATGGAAGGACACATACTAGGCTGTTAATCTGGGTTACCTGGGAAGAGAAAGGTTGGGGGAGGGGAGGGTATGACTCTCAGAGAGGGAAAGGGGGCAAGCAAAAATGATTTTAAAAAAAGACATGTATGCAGCCACATTTACCACATTTACTCATTCATGTGTAACTATATGAATACATTAAAATAAGCCTCCCTGACCTCAAAAAGAAAAAAAAAATCAAACAAACTCAGAGAAGCCAGTACCTGAAGCTTTTATTTCCTCTCTATGGGATTAAACCCAGACTCCTACAGCCTCAGCTGTCACTTCCTCTCCCCCTGGGAGCCTGGGGTAGAGGGCAGCTGGGCCGGATGTTCCTCCTGAAACTTTTCCCACTGGCCTCAACTCACCTTTTGGGAGCAGGTAAAAGAAGCTGACTCCTTCTAGGGTTTGGCTAAGAAGAGGGTGGGGACCCACACCCAGGCGCAGGACACGGGTCAGAAGCCCCGCCCTGGCCCAGGTGTGTCCTCAGGTGGGTGGCAGCCCAGGAGCGGCCTGCTTACCCTCACCCTGATGACGTTGACCTCCACAAGGAGCAGCATCCCGTAGAGGATCACCAGCAGCCCCGTGAGGCAGAAGCGCAGCTGCGAGAAGCCGATGGCGTGGTCGTAGAACTTGACAAACTTGATAGTCTTGGTGATGAAGGCCAAGGTCCAGTAGATTAGCAGGGCTGCCGAGGGGAGACAAGAGAGCATGGAGGATGTGTGTGCACATATTCACGTGTGTGTGTGCAACTGTGTGGAAGAGGATGGAAAATAAGTGTGTCAGGGAAGAGTTGTGTGTGCGGACAAGCAAGTGTTATGGGTGTGAGTATGCGCATTTCTGAGTAAGGGGGTGTCCGTGTGTGTGAATATATGAGCATGTAATTTTGAGACGACTGTGCATACATTAAAACATTCATGATAGGCATGTTCAAAAATAATCATCATCTTATAAGTCAAGGTGGTCAGCCAAATTTCCCTTTACAATAAATAAGAAGAAAAATAGTGGAATTATTTCTTGAATTTAACTAAGTTATAGGCATCATACCAAATAAGCACTTTAAACATATTTATCTCATTTATTTCTTATATTAGCCTTGTGAAGGAAGTCCTGCTGTCATGCTCAGTTTAACGGACAAGGGAATCGAGGCTCAGAAAGGTTTGGTAACTGATCTAAGGTCACACAGCCATTAAGTGGACTAGCCTAGTGCCAGAGCCTGTGCACGTAGGCTCCACCCTACAATGGCTTCCTTGCGGAATTCCCAAGCTGGGAAGATCTTAAAGGTCCTTCAATCTAGCCCTTTCATTTAACAGATGAGGAACCTGAGGCCCAGAGAGAGGAGGTGACATGACCAAGCTCACTGCAAGTTAGTGACAGACAGAGGGTGAGGGCCTAGGTCCCTGGCCCCCAAGTCCAGAGTCCACTACGGCATGATGATGCTCCTCAGGGAGCCTGGGGAGTGGGAGATACAAAAAAATGAGTCACAGTCCTGAAAGGCAGTGTGTATAGTGGTTAGAGCTGGGCCTGCAGCCAGATACCCCTGGGCACAGATCCTCTGACTTAATAGCTATGTGACCTTGGGTAAGTCATTTAACCCATCTAGGCTTCAGTTTCTTCAGCCATAAATGGGAATAATAATAGTACTACCTCAAAAGTCATCATGAGCAATGTATGGAGAGCATTTAGCACAGTGAGCCTGGCACACAGTGGGTGCTCTTTGGATATCAGCTGTTAATATATCTGTTATCTCCAGATTTCAGACCTTGGACCATAAATACCAGGAGCCATCTGTGGATTCTAACCTATAAATTCCCACCCACCCCCATCCAAATCCACCAATAAACCACAGTCAGCTGGTGACAACAAAAGACAGCAGTAACTAAGTGCCCCTTTAGGGGGTGCTTTAGCATAGGCAGTCCTTCCCCAATTACCCCCTAGAGTCATATGCTCTGCGATATGTGATATATATGATCTTATATATGATATAAGGTCAGCCTAAATGCCTAGAGCTCCTCTCTAGAGGAATCACAGAGAGGGAAGGAGACTGTCATCCTGCCTTCATCCCTAGGAGGGCCAGGACATAAATGCCACGGCATCTCTTGGGGACAAAAGCTGGGGTCTGTCCCAGCCTGGCTCTGGGCTGGGAACTAGGTTGAGACATTGAACTGGGGAGGGACAAATGCCACCTGAGTGAGAGCATTAGGATAGAGGGCAGGAGCATCTGCTTCTGGTCCCAGCCCTCAAGACTGGGATGATGTCCCTCAGCTGGGTCAGGTCTCCAGGTCACAAGGAATCCCCTAGCTGGGGGACATTCCCCTGCATCCACACCTATACTGTCCCAACAGACTCTATCCCAGGTACCAGAACCTCTTTAGACCTTCGTGAGGGTTCCTCCTGAGGCCAAGACTTTAAAATATGTCTCAGATTGGTCTTGCCTCTAACACGTAACAGATATGGTTTGATTTGATCTTTATAAGAACCCTATGCCTTAGGCAGGGACTTACTATTCCTGTTCAGATGGGGAAACTGAGGTTTAGAGAGCCTGAGTGTCTTGTCCAAGGTCACACAGGGAGTTAGTTGAGGACCCAGGACTAAGCCCAGGGGTTATTTCCACAGTCCCATCCTACAGTGCTGAGCCCTCAGCCTGTTGCCAGACACAGCAGCATTCGGTAAAAGCTTAGTGCATGTCCGAGAGAACAGGAGAAGGGAAAGAAAGTAGTAAAACACAGGGGCTGCTGGTGAGTTTTAAACTCTGAGTTCCCATTACCTCTGCTTCCTCCCTCCCTTTCCTCTCCCTCATCCCCACATCCTACCTATTACCAAATTCTATTTTACCTCCTAATTATCTTGAATCCATTCACTTCTGTCCACCTGGGTGGCCACCTGGGTCAGGTCACCATCATGTCTCCCCTGGACTGCCTTAAGAGCTTTCTCATGGTTTCCCCACTTCCCCTCTTGCCCTCCTCCAACCTAGCCTCCGTAGAGCAATACATTTAGTCAAATATGGTCTCAACACACCCATGTTCATAGCAGCATTATTTGTAATAGCCAAAAGGTGGAAGCAACCCAACTGCCCATTGATGGATGAATGGATAAACAAAATATGGTGTGTGTGTGTGTGTGTGTGTGTGTGTGTATACACACACACACACAATGGAATATCATTCAGCCTGAAAAAGGAAGAACATTCTGACACGTGCTACAACATGGGTGAAACCTGAGAATATAATAAGTTAAATGAACCAGTCACAAATGGACAAAATAGTGTACGATTCCACTTATACTACGAGGTGCCTAATGTAGACAGATTCATAGAGACAGAAAGTATTATCGAATGATGGTTTCGAGGGGTTGAGGGGAGTTATTGTTTAATGGGAAGATGAAAGAGTTTTGGAGATAGATGGTAGTGATAGTTACTCAACAACGTGAATGCATTGAGTGCCACTGAACTGTACACTTAAAAGTGGTTAAAATGGTAAGTTTTATGTTATGCATATGTTAACACATACACACACACATCCCAATCCTCAATGGCTTCCCATCGCCCTTGGGACAAAGAACAACGCCTGTAGTGTGGCCTTCAAGGTCTTGCCCCACCTGTCACTCCAACCTTCAAAGTTCAGCTCCCTTCTGCTCTCTGCACTTCAGCTGCTGTGTTTTGCCCAGATTTCCTAATGTGCTTTGCAACTTCTGCCTCTGGGCCTTTGCACATGCTGCTCCTTCTGCCTGAAGCATTCCCCTGTCCCTTCTCGCAGTTAGTTCCTACCTATCCTTCAGTTCTCAGCTCAAACGTGACATTCTCACAGAACACCTTCTGATCTCACCTGGGTCCAGGAACAAGGTTACTTCGTGGGACAATGTAAGCCACATCATGGGTCACCTTTCTGCAGGACTCCAGACCTGTGACTGGACAGTAGCTTCCTCAAAGGGCCAGCTATTCCCCTAATACCTGCTGTCCTGCAGCTCATGGGGTGCATCCTCTTCCCTTTTCCCTGTTCTAGAATTTCTGGCTTTGTGGAGAGCAAAGCTCTACCAAAGGGGGGAGTTAGTCTTTGTTCCTTGGAGAAGGACTGGTCAATCCATGGGTGGTCATTTGTGCTTTGCGGAGAGAACATTATGCTCTTTCTGGAGAATGAGAAAATGAACTCGCCAGATGCCCAGACAGGGTGTTTCCAGGGGCACTGGTCAGCCAGGCCTCGTGGTTAATGAGAGGTCTCTGTGCATGAGGAGCTGCTTCAGACACTGGCGTGGGAGGCTCTCCGAAGCTTGTATTTAACACCTCTCCATCTGTTGCTCCCTAGTCCCCCAACCATACTCACTTGGGGGCCCCTGGGGTGGGGGCATCATCTGGATGATCCTGATGGAGCCAGCTCCCACCTTACACAGGAAGGTAGACCTGTGATTAGCTTGGGAAACTTTCTCTACCCACTCATGACACCGTGCTGTCTCTGGCTTAGCAGAGAGTTCCAGACTCCAGATGTCAATTCGATGCTATGATTCCTAAAAATCATAGTCTGACTTAATGACACACGGTCTGACCACAGCCTAACAGTCAGATGTACAGCCCCGGCCTTAGACAGGCAGACTGAGCCTCACACAGAGGCAGATCTGTGGATTTATACCTCTGGCCTAAGCACAGTCTGAGGACCCTTAGACACACAGTCTCAGCCTTTTTAAGAGCCTGCTTGGGTGCCAGACTCCTGGGATCTAAACCTGAATCTGAGGACTTCCCTGGTGGTCCCGTGGTTAAGAGTCCACCTTCCAATGCAGGGGATGCAGGTTCGATCCCTGGTCGGGGAACTAAGATCCCACATGCCGTGGGGCAACTAAGCCCGTGTGCCACAACTGGAGGGCCCGCGCACCACAACTACTGAGCCTGTCCGCCACAACTAGAAAAAAGCCCGCGTGCAGCAATGAAGAGCCCACACGCCGCAATGAAAGATCCTGCATGCCACAACTAAGACCGAGTGCAGCCAAATAAATAAATAAATGTTAAAAAAAAACAAAAACAAAAACTTGGCTCTGGCCCTTGACTAGCTGGTGAGACTAGTGCAAACCACTTAACTTCTGAGCCTCGGTCTCCTGATCTATAAAAGGGAAATAATAATGGTACCTACCTCATAGAGTTGTAAGGATTAAATGAGTTAATATATGTAAAATGCTTAGGATCGTGCCTGACACATAGCAGGTGCTAAATGAGTGTTCACTGTTATTATTTGTAACCTCTCTGAGTTTCAGTGTTCACATCTGTAAAATGGGGATAGCAAGAGTACAAGAGGGAGAGTGTGGGGGTTAAGTGAGATAATGCACGGAGGAAGCTTAGCACTGAGCCTGGCACACAGCACACACTCAGTAAACGTCAACATCCATCACTGTTGTTTCTGACTGGGACCCCGGCCACATGGTGTCAGAAGGTCTAAGCGGGCACTCCTAAATGTTGGCAAACCACAGGCTCTGGTCCTGGGGCCCTTCTCTTTCCTCCAGGTTACCTCATTTGGGCTCAAGATGCCACCTATGAAGCCGTGACTATCAGACCTCCTCTGGAACGCCCAACTTGTTTATCTAACTGACCGCCTGACACTTGAGCTGGCTGTTTCAAACTCAACTGCGGCCTAAACACCCCAACTCCTGCTCCTTTGCCGTGTCAGTTACTAATACCGCTGTTCACCCGTGTACTCTGGCCCAAAGCCTAGGAGTCTTCCTTGTTCCTCTCCTGGCCCCTGACCTCATCTCCTACCATTCTTCCTTGGGCTCATTTGCCTTCGACCATACTAGCCTCTTTGCCAAGTTTGTTCCTATCAGAAGGCCTTTGCGCTTGCTGTGCCATTTGCATGGAAACATGTACCCCCAAATATGTGCATGCTCACTCTTACCAGAGGCCTCCCCTGAGCATCCTACACAGACAGCAGCACGGCCTTCACTCTCTACCCCTTACCCAGCTCTGTGCTCTTCATAGCATCATCACTACTTATTTGCTTGTTTGTCTGTTTACTGTCTTTGCTTGTGTGTCTCCTCCACCAGACTGGAAGCTCCACAATGGCAAGAATTTTTCTTCTCTACTTCTGAACCTCTAGCACTTAGAACAGTGCCTGGCACATAGTAAGTCCTCAGCAAACATTATCTGAAGGGACAAATGGAAGTACCTATCCCTCCCCGTTCCCCACTCCTCCCCTTTCCCTACCAATCAGCAGCCTGGGGAAGTTGGAGGTCTCGATGTTGTGATAGTAGATCACAGAGGTGACAGCAGCCATGAACGCCATCCCGGCCGGCATGTACAGGTGGAGATGGCGGGACTCGGTCACCCTGAGATAAGGACAAGAGAGACGGAGAGAGAGACAGGGAGAGAGAGAGAGAGAGAGAAAATGTAGATGAGCTGCGTCGTACTCTAACAGAGTAGCCCAGGCCTCGTGCTTAGGGCACAGCACACAGTGGGGCCTCCAGAGCACACGTAACCATATAGTTCCATACCATATGCTGGCAGCTCTGCCCAGCCCAGACCCCAAACACACCTGTTAACTAAGGGGCCCAGGCGTTCACACAGAGATGCTATGAGAGCTCGGTGTTCAGGCTTTGAAATTCATGGCCTTCTCTCTCTGGGTTCACGCTTACAGAATCTGGCATAGGGGAGCTGGCCTTGGCAGTCGCAGCTGCAAAGCTTCTGGCTTAGAACCAGCTTATCCCCCTACAGAGGCCTCAGTAGGTGGGCTCTGGTCTGGTGATAAGCCCCATAGGGAGCCAGAGCTCCCTCCCAGAACTCAGCTTCTCCACGATTGGTGAGGAGGCTCGACTTGCCTGGTCCTGGTCATGCCCTTCCAAGGCTCCCTTCTATAGAAAGCAAAACTCAAAGGCACAGGTGATGTGGCCTCAAGTCTTTTTTCCAGCACTGCCCAGCCTGCTCTTTCTAGTGAAGCTATGGTTAGGAAGCCCTCCATTCCCAGGAGGCCTTCTCCAGTCTTCTGCTTCAGTGCTGCCCTTGCTTGCGCTGCTCCTTCTATCCAGTGCGCAAAGAGTCCCTGCCCTCGAGAAGCTGACAGTAGGGAAGGAAGCAACCATGCTCAGAGCTAACTGTCTGACTAGGCAGTCTAGGGAAGTGGCATTGCAGATGGACAGAAGGCTGAGAGCACACAGGGGAGGGTGGGCAAGCAGGGAATGCTTCACAGAGGAGGTGGCACAAGGCTGAACTTTGAAGGATGAGCAGGAGTTCAACGGAGAAGGTGGAGGGCATGAGGAGAGCCATGTTGGGACCCCAAGTGGTCTGGTGGGACTAGGATATAGCATAGAGGCAGTGTGTTTCCCTTCTTCCTCGCTAGGAGAACCACAAGTTTGCTCCAGCAGCCATGCGCCCAGCCCCAGGGAATGGATGGTGATTGGTTCAAGCAGCCATGCAATTGCACACTTCTTTGTCAGTGATTGGTTTAAGAGTGGCCATACAACCCAATTCTGGTCAATGAGATGTAAGGAATGTCTGTAGAAGATGATCTCCTGCATAAAGAAGAGGCTTGTGGGCAGCATGCCCCCTTTTTCCTTGCTTAGTTGATGCCTAGAGTTGGGCAGCCATCTCCCATAAGAAGATATGGTGGACACACAGAGTATGGCATAGAAAGATGTGGAGAAGCTGGGTTCCTGATGCCATTACTAAGCCACCACACCAACTAAAAAAGGTGGCCTCCAGATTTCTTGTTAAATGAGACTGTACACGTTGACGTTCTTCAAGCTTGATTAGTGGATAGTCTCAGTGCAAGGTCTTCGCACTGTTACAGGAGGTACAAGGCAGTCACTAGTGGGGGCACTGGAAACAACCAACACCCTGTCCAGGAGGTCTTCAAAACGCTTGCCTCTGTACTCCTTGAAATAATTTTGAAAAACTCTGTACTCCTGCATACATTTTTAAGTGACATCCAAAATGTTATTTCATAAGTTTAAGTACATTCATTTTTTTTGCAATAGAAGGTAGAAATGATAACATTTTATAAGATGAAATAAGACAGTGAATAACCATAATTGAAATAAGTATTTTATGACACGACTTAAATAGATTTTGGCTGCTTTACTGAATAATATACACTGACTTAGATAAGAAATTAGGTAAAAGTTTTATATATGGCTTTTTCCAGTGTACGGTGGTCTGGGAAAACATTCTATATTTTTAAAAAAATTCTAAATAACCTAAACTGCTTTGGTTGTTGTGAATTCAGAGCATCACAGAGAAATAATACTTAAAGGAAGACAAGAAACCCTACAGGTTAGATGCCTTACTTAATCACTAAATGAGGCTTACCTTAAACTAAACTCAAGTTCGAAGGCCACTGCTTTAACGGCCCCCCTCTCTCATCTGTCCCGTACACTTCCAGCAAGTCGGCCAAGCCAGGACAGGGACTGTGGCTTCTCCTCATGTCCGTTCCCCTTCCCATCCTCCTTCATGCTCCCCTGCCCAGGGGTGCAGGCCACAGATGGAAACCAGCAAATACCAGATAAGTGCCTATGGAGGAGCTGACCTGCTCTCTGGGGAGGAGGCGGCGATCTGCACTGACCTGGAGAGGTTTGGGATACAGGTGCTGCCCCACACAGGAGGGCCTGCTGGACAGCCAGCAGGACAGAGTCCCCAACCATATTCTATCCAGTCTCCCACATTCTGGGAATATACCAGCTTCCCAGGGCTCTGCCACTCTGCACTCTGCACCCTGTCTATGCTCTAATTTCAGCCTCCACTGCCCTACGAAGCAGGCAAGGCAGGAATTATGATGCTCATTTCACAGGTAGAGAAAGTGAGACCCAGAAGGGCTGGGTGACTTGTCCCAAGTCCCACAGCTGGTGCGTGGCATAGCAGAAATGCTAGCAAAGACCCAGGTCTACCTTCTCTGCAGGAAGGGTATTTTCCCCTCTGTTGTTTTGTTCATTACAGCCGGGTGAGTATATTCTGGCCGGAGGGCTCACAAGGCATCCCTCCCATCTCTAGCATCTGTGCTGCTTTGGAAGGGGTGTTGGGATGGAAGGCGGGAGGCGGACTTGTCACCTGCTAGTTATGTGGCAGTATGCATCCTGGTCCTGCTCATCTGAGGGCTTTGATAGCCAGGAGGAGGCCCAAGGCAAGCAGTTATCACAGAGATTACTGCTGAAGCCAGGATGCAGGGACATTGGGAGTGGGAGGGTGAGGCAGTGTGTGTGTTGGTGGAGGTGAGGATCCCATCCCCCTGCCATCCAGCTGCAGGAGCCAGGGCTGGCAGGAGTGGAATCTGGGCATAGACTGATCCCAGCTCAGAGGGATTGGACCTCAAGTATTTAAGCCAAATGTCCACCACCCTCCACCACCCCTTCACCCAGGCAGTCACTGAGCCTTGCCGATCCTTCCATTCTTCCTTAGTGAGACGGCTGCTTCATCTCCGCCTTATCTGCACCCCCAACTGCTGACGCATCGCTTTTGGCTGCACTTATCTCTCACCTAAACTACTGCAATCAATCCTAAGTGCTGCTTCTACCTCCAGCCTCTCCCTCCTTCCACCCTGCCCTACATCTCTTCTCTTCCAAACTGCCTAGAAAATTCAACCCAAACACTCAGCCTGGCATGTGAAGCCTTCCTGCAGATGCCCCCAGTTTCCAAATCTCAGCCTCCATCGCTCCCACGTGTTTCATGCTTCAGCCCCGCCGCACTGCTGCACTGCTCCCACCCTGCCTGCTTCCCCTCCCACCACTCCCCACTCGCCCACGGTACCTTTCTCACGACTCCCCGCTGGCCCTCCCTCTCTGGAACTCCTCTGCCTGTCAGAACCCTAGTCATCCTTCCAGATCCTGCTCAGAAGTCCCCTCAGCCATGAAGCTTGCCCAACTCTGCCTTCCTTTATCCTCCCATAGTACTTACTTGTAACGTTATTTCATTTATTCTCTTAAGGAGTCCCTAAGGGTCTATGGAGCTTTCTCATGTGCCTTGCACTGTGAATACAAAGATGAATAACATGCAGATTCCAACTCTGAGGCCTTTCTGACTTAGGCGGGAGACAGTTTGCAAATAGATATAGATGTTAACATACAGTATGACCTATGCTGTGGCAGAGGTGTGAAGAGTATGCTGTGAGGTCCAGAGGCAAGGTGGGCATGGGGAGAAGGCCCATAGGAATGAGGCTAGAGAGAGGGAGGGCCGACTGTGAGGAACCTGGATGCCAGGCTGAGGACTTAGGACCTTGTAAACAACTGGGAACCAAGGAAAGATCTTAAGCAAGAGTGATTTTTTTCCCTCCAAGAAGGTAACCCCAGCAGCTTGTGGGAGAGGCTGGGCATATCCACTCTGATAGGCTCTAGGATTATTTCACCAGGTCTTGGTGTGCAGATCTGGGTCCCCTCCACCCTGCTGCACTGAGAGCAGGGCCTGGTTCTCACTGTCCAGTGCCTGGCACAGAGAGCCTGGCACACAGATGTTGGGTAAACAGTTGCTGGATTTATTAGCAAATGAAACGATATTGGCTCATGGAATGCAGCTGAGCTGGGGTCTCCCTGGGCCTTTTAGGAAGCACCCTTGAGTAGATCCACTCTCCTGGGTCCTCTGAGAGTCACTCACCCATCAGACAGGATGCCCTCTGCGATCTCACACACCAGGACGAAGAGCAGCATGAAGGTCAGGATCCAGCGCAGGTTGTGCCCAGGGAAGTGGAGCCATGTGCTGTGGTGGATGTGCACTTTGGAGCTCTGACTGCCCCATCCTGCAAGGAGAGACAGGAAGAGGTGGGAAGCCTGACTCTCCTGGAGGAGGTTTCGTGAACCCCAGGAGGGTGCTTAGGCATTGGGTCCATGATGGGGATGAGGTGTGTACCCATGACAATGCCCCAGTCTGGTACACATGAACTAAATGTCCTTGCATGAAACCCCGGACCCACAGAGGCCCACATGTGCAGGTACCCATTTTATGCCGACTTCTTGTGTGACAAATAACCGCATAAATAAACGTTTGGTGGAGAGCAACAGTGTAAATGCTGGTACAGTTTTTGATACACATGTGAACATAAGCTTCCTTCCTATTTCTCGTTGTCTTTGTCAACAACTAGCAACTTTTTGCTTCTGCAGCATCTTCCTCTTTTTAATTTTGTAGCAATTTTTCCTTTCTTCTCAAAAGCTGTATATGAATCTTAAGATTTGCTTTTTTTCTTAATTAGAGCAAATTAACACGTTTTGGGGGAGGCAGGGAACACCCTATGAGTTGACAGAGCTAGCTAGCTTGAGAAATTCGAGGTCTTGGAGAGAGATAAATGGGACCCTAGGAAAGAGGCACACACAACTGTCTAGGCGGTGACGCTCAACTCTGCGGAGGGCTTTCAAACAGGGGCGCTGGTGGCCTCCGTCCGGGTCGCTGCTAAGTCGGATCGGCTCTGCCCCGAGCCCGAGAAATTGAGCTACGGAGACGCGCGTGCCGCGGTGGGGTTAGCTGGGGAAGCGGAGCCTCTTCTCGATCAGGGCGAGTGGAACCCCAGGATTGCCGGAGGCTACTGACCACTGTCAGGTTCAGCCCCTGGGAAGCACAGGGTTCGCAGGGCCTCCACCCAGCCTCTGAGGCGCAGGCTGCACTCCTCCCTGGGCCCAGCTGCGGCTGACGAGAAGGGTGCCTTGGGGGAGGGTGGCCCGGCTCCCTACACAGCGCCTCTGAGGTTACAGCCCGACCCCCTCCCGACCTATCCAGCGCGTACAGAGACCCCTGCTTTCCCCTTTCTCCACCCCAGCTCTGGCCCTGCGGTGGCAAAACTTGGGGGTCCCCTGGGTCAGGAGCTTCCGTTGTGGTGCGTGCGGTTTCAGGGACACCCCGGGAGTGAGGGCTGTGCGGGTGTGTGAGCGCCAGCACCGCGGGGCATAACACAGGGCAGGGGACTCCAAGGGGGAGGCGAGCGGCGGTCGCCTGCCTGCAAGTGGACGCGGAGCGCTGCGGCGCGCAGCGCCTCCTTCTCCTCCCTCCCGACCAGCGTCCTCCCCTCCTCCGCTGCTCGCCCCGCGCGCTCACCGATGAAGAGAATGGGGAAGGTGATGAAGAGCAGGAAGACGTGCGGCACCACGTTGAGCGCGTCCACGAAGCAACCGTTGTTGAGGACGCCCTGGTCCACCCGGTAGGCGGCCGAGTGGTTCTCGCTGCCGCAGAAGGCCAGGGGCATGGCGGCGCGGGCTCGGGCTCGGGCTCCAACTGCGGCTGGCTGCACGCGCCTCCCGCGCTCTGTCCCCTGTAGCTCCGCCGCCCGGCCCGGCCGTCAGGCCCCAGCCCCCACCCCGCAGGCCCCGCCCCGTCGGCGCTCCGGCTCTCCCACCCCGCCCAGCTCCTCTACCTGCGGGGCCTGAGGGGTGGCGGGGAGCCCGACCCGCCGGGCCGCGCTGGGGCCGAGTTCCAGCTGTGGCGGCCCGCACGATGCGCTGGGGGCCGCCTTGTGAGTGCCCCGCTGCGCGCGTGCGCTGGGGAAGCAGGAACGACAGGCTGGGTGGGTGGGCATACTCGAGTCTGGATGGGAGGGTGAGGGGTGCAGAAGAGAGGAGGAGGGTCCTCGCGGCTCGGGAGTGGGCGCGGTCGGAGTCTCGAGTGTGACCTCCCTGCCCGGGGTCTGAGGTGTGAGCTCACCTGGGCCTGGCTCTCGTGGGTATAGTTAGAGCGGAGGGTCCTGGTGGGGCAGTGTGGGACAAGTCCCATCCCATATGAATAGGAAAAGCATTCGAAAACGTTACCTCGGGGGGAGCTTCGAAGGTTTTCGAAAATGGTTCCAGGCGGGGGACGTTCATAGGTGCTTTACAGCGTATCCCTCGCTTTCACAAACGGAATCTTCCAATACTCCTGCTAAGTACAGGTTAATTGCTCCCATTTTTCTGGTGAGGAAACTAAGGCTCCGGGAGGTTACATGACTGACCCAAGGTCTCACTGCCAACAAGTAGGGAAGCATAACTTGAACTCAGCTCATCGAATTTCAACCCGCACTCCCCAGCCCCCATCTACCTCAGGCATGCGTCTATTACATGATTGAAACCTCCAGCGACTGGCAGGTGAATGGATAGAATAGATCATGGCCCAAGGTTGAAAAAGAGGTGCTTGTGGAATTGTATCCAGTGCAGGCAATGGAAGGCAGCCAAGAGGGTGGAAAGAGATAATGTCACCCTAGGCTGTATCCTTAACCTGACACAGACAGGCTTAAGGAGTTCAAGAACCTGGTGAAATCGTAAAGACAATATTATGCCTTCCTATACTTTTTGGAGAAATTCTCACAGGTCTGTGACCAAAAAAGTTTACATCCTATGAAGAAAGAAGACAAAAGGGGATTTGGGATTAGATTTTAGAAGAAATTTCTGAGTTAGAGATATGGAGCATAAATGCATCTGTTCTCAGGAGGAGCTAGGGGGTCATCAAGGAAGCTCTCTTCGGCCCTTTTCCCTATGAGCCTCTCTGAGCCTGTTCTGAGGCTGCTTTGAGGCTCGAAGCCTTTACAAGACGCTGTCAGGCAAGGACTCAGCTTTGCCTTAGGACTTGAGAGAGGCCAGGGCAGAACCAGGAACCACAGCAGAGGGCAGGTGGGGCTGAGTGAAGAGCTTGGGGAGGGCAGGAGCTCAGGGTTCAAAGTCCTCAGACAGTCTCCGACTTTTTGAGTATCTCTCTGAGGGCAAAAGATGTTTCCTGCAGTATCAGCCAAAATAGTGAAAACTTGGTGGCTGTAAATGCCCCGTACTGGTGGCAGGAGTTAATTAATCTGGGTGAATGCAGCCACTGAAAAAGTGATTGCTGAGTCTATGTAGTCAAGTGGGAAAAGCTTATGAGACAATGTCAGGTGAAAAAGGAAGAAACAAAATCGTGTGTTTCCTTTGATTACAGCCATATTAAATATGTATGTTTGAATGCAAGCCCGCGGGGGAAGCTCAGACTTGGAAATGGCTGTTACATTAGGGTGGTGGGTAGTATACATTAGCTACCGTTGCTGTGTTTATAATTATTGTTATTACCATTCTCTTTCTGTAAGAACGAAGCAGTTGAGATTCAAAGAGATGAGATGGGGAATTCCCTGATGGCCCGGTGGTTAGGGCTCTGCACTTTCACTGCTGCCGAGAGCACAGGTTTGATCCCTGGTTGGGGAACTAAGATCCCACGAGCCTCGAAGCACGGCAAAATAACAAAACAAAACAAACTAAACAAACAAAGAGATGAGATGATGTGCCCTTGGCCACCTAACAAAATTGCTTTTAGGTCTTTGTTTTCGGCTCCAAGGTTTTTTTTCAAACTTTCTGTTGCCATTTTGTTTTTGTAGTTATAATTTTAGTTTTTCACACTTTCAGCAGTGCCGTTTTTCCTTTCAGTGGTAGATATGTATATATTTTAAGTCCTCAGTCCTGGCTCCACCACTACTAGTTGTGTCATGTAGGACAAGTTACCATTCTGTGCTTCAATTTCCTCTTTTCTAAATGGGGAAGATAATAATACAGACCCCAGAGGATTAAAATGAGGTCAAGGGTATAAATGTGCTGTGTAAGCCTGGAAGATGGTCCTGGCTACCTCATCTTCTGGGTGCCCACCCATGGGACCTCATCAATCAATCATGGTTATCTAGTGGTCTTTCCCTTCCTTGGCACTCAGCACACAGTGCCTGGCACATCCCACACACTTGCCTCTTCTGGGCCATTTGAAATAAACAAAAAGCCTGGTCCAACCCAAGCTGGACCCAGGTGTAAAGGACAATTAAGGGGTCATCACCTGGGACTAAGAGGAGGCTGGAGGAGGGCACCACGTTTGCCATCTCTAGCACAAACCTACTGCGTGACTATGGGCAAATTCCACCCTTTCCTACACCTAGCTTTCCAGTGAGGATACCCATCACACTGCCCATCATGTGGGTGTTATCTCGAAAAGTGTGGAGTCAGGTGCATAAAGAGGCGTGAAATGACTCCTGCTGTAACATGGATTGTGATCTTGGAAACACCCAAATGTTCATCAATAGAGGGCTGGTTAAAATAAAACTAACACACGAACAAACAACATGGTAATTCCATAATGTGGAGTACTGTGAGGCAAATACAGAGAGTAAAGTAGGGTTATGTACACAGACACTGAAAGATGTCCAAGGCATAGATGTAGAGCAGTCAGTGAAGCATGAAACCATTTTATTTCTGCAACAGAAACAGACGCAGAGCTACAACGTCTCTGTGGGGAGGGCTGGGTCTCAGTCACACTTTCCCACACCCAAAGTTTCTTGCTGGCTTCTGCTGCAGGGGGATGGAAGATGGATTCCCGTCGGGAGCAGGCTTGGAGCAAGGGTATTCCCCTTTGAAAATGCTCAGCCTTCCTCATAGCAGAATGGAAAACCTGGGAAGGATTTCATGGACCTGGATTGTTGCGCTCCAGACCCATTAGGTGAGTGTGGCCGCAGGCAGGACCCGTCCCCTCCTTTGTGCATGGAAAGGAAAGCTTGGCGCAAGGCTTCAAAAAAGTCCCTTCTAGTTCTGATGTTGTTCAGGCGTCAGTGCCCTGTCTCAGGTGTGTCAGTGACCATGACAGAGAGGGTCATCAAGATGATAATGGTGACGTAATAGAGAGGGGTGATATTTCAAGAAATTAACCCTTTCAATAGCCCCAATCAATAGTGAGATGGTTAAAAACAAACAAAACCAAAAATGGTAGTATACATACTATGCAGCAAGTACAGAGCACATAGTAGGGCTATATCTGCACTGACTCGGCAAGGTGTCTTCTCCCCGCACCCCGTCCCCAGCTCTCCCTTCAGGCAGATGACTGTGAAGCAAATTCCAGGTGGAGAACAGACAACTGGTATATCAAAAAGAGAGTTCTTGAGATCAGGAGACTGTGCTCAGCCTCCCTACCTGCCTGATGTGCGCACGTGTGTGTGTGTGTGTGTGTGTGTGTGTGTGTTGGGAGGGCAGGGGAGGTGGATAGCCAGCAAGGGAAAGGCTAGGTGTCAGTTGTGCCAGAAAATCCATACAAGGGCTATTTTGAAGAAAGATTCCCTTGCCCCGGAGCAGGGCCACCAGACTGACAGAAGAGACAGGGGATCCTCTACCACACTTGCCTGGAGGAATGATGCAGGAGCAAGATAACTCCTCCTTAGTCTCTTGGCATTACCTACCTGGGGAGGTGGGGAAGGAACTCCCAGAAAGTCCGGTGTTAACATTTTCTGCCAGCCTGGAAGGGATGGAGGTTTGAAATAGAAATTAAATCAAGTTCTTGTTCTTGCCCACTTAAGCTTTGGTCCAAGATCACCCTCACTACAGTAACACAGGCCAGAGGACGACTCCACGCATGGCCTGGTTTCTCTTTGAGGCCAAGCCTGTCCCCTCATTTTATCCCCAAAACATCCAGCTCCCCAGGGCATTGATTAAAAATGGAGGGCTTCCCTGGTGGCGCAGTGGTTGAAAGTCCGCCTGCCGATTCAGGGGACACGGGTTCGTGCCCCTGTCCGGGAAGATCCCACATGCCTCGGAGCAGCTAGGCCCGTGAGCCATGGCCACTGAGCCTGCGCGTCTGGAGCCTGTGCTCCGCAGTGGGAGAGGCCACACCAGTGAGAGGCCCGCATAACCGCAAAAAAAAAAAAAAAAAAAAAAGGAGGCTTTACTGAATTCTTCATGGGGTGGCGGGAAAGATGTAATTTGCACAGCTCACAACAGAAACCCAGTAAAACCCCTCATTTCTCCCCCAGCCCCAGCAGTCTTCTCTGCTGTGTGTTTTCTCGTATCTCCTGTTCCTTCTTCCACACAGCCTCCTCTTGTAAACATGCCCCTCAGTCCTCAGAGCAACTCAGCATTTGTCTTCGGCCTGTACACCCACTCAGGGTTTCTCAAGCATGCCTTGTTTCCCTTCCCGAGCTGCTGACTGACCTCAAACCTGCTTTCTTCCTGGAGAGATTACTGGGAGAGAGAATAAGATTTTCTCTCTTTTGTTTTACCGACATTTGTTGAGTTCTTAGTGTATGCCTCACACTTTACCTGTTTTAAACCTCAGAGGAACGGCCTAGTAGTTACTAATATCAGAGAAAACTGAGGCTCAGAGGAGTTAAGCTCTTTTCCCAAGATCACACAGCTGGGAATCAGTAGAGAAAGGATTCAAACCCAGTCAGGCCCTGCTTCATAGCGTGCACTGTTAGTCACTCCTTAAAGGGATGCTGAGGGTACTGAGGAT